TCCGACCAATGGACTTTGTTCATTTATCACAATGTCACACTATTTCCTCCTTTGTTCTTTTTGGCCCATTGCTGAAGAACAATACTGAATTTTTCCTGCGGGGTTCAAAGCACCCGGTTTACGGTTTTAATTGTTTTCCATTTGTCTTTTTCTGGGTTGATAGCATGGACATGATGTTAGACTGCGCTTTGAGCTATTAATATCTTCCTATGAGGGGAGAAATCTCTGTATAATCAACGCAGTGTTTCCCCTAGGTTTACTGCGGGGGGGGGTGCTGCCTGGGGGGGGGGGTGGTATTTGGATATATATATATATCTTTCGACTCCACCTCGAGCGATAGAACTATTAACAAAGCACTTATATACTAATAAAGGACTGGCTCAGTTGAGTAGCACTTGAAATGTTTTTGCTCTATGAAACCTGTACTTATATGATTCTGTTTTCTTCAAGTTTGTATTTTGTTAGTCGAACGCACTTATTGTAAGTCGCTTTGGATAAAAGCGTCAGCTAAATGTAATGTAATGTAATATGTTTTAAATCCTCTGGAGCAGAGAGAGGAGCTGTGGATTATTGGTGTTTCTTAGGGTCAAAAACACTAAACTCACAACTTAAAATTAAAGTGTTTCTTTATTTAATAAAAGGGCACATGTGAAAAGTGACAGTAGATATAGATTAGTTGCAATTTGGTGCTCTATATATATATATATATATATATATATATATATATATATAAAAATAATAATAATAATTTTTTTTTTTTTTTTTAACACCTTGAATTTCATTTTGTCCAAGACAATGGTAGGAGAAACACGGCAACGTCTGATTAAAAACATAGCATTTGTGTCGTATAGCCTCCCATAGACCTTAGACAATAAGGGTACAATTATCAAAAGGGATTGTGTGGCTTATCGACAGCTAATACTCAGTTAAAAAACAGTTTCTGAGTGGAAAGATATCGTTCACCTCCAATCAACAGTCTGCGTCTTTGTGCAGCTCTCAGGTTGGGCCTCTTCCCTCAGTATAAATAAATGTTTCAGGGGGCTCCACCTCATGATCCTCTTGTTTAAGTTTCTCAGCTGAAGCGGTTTGACAGCTCGGTTTGCTGTGACATTTTATAAAACTCAAAGAAGACAAAACAAAAACAGAACATTCTCAGCTGTTATGCGAATTACAGCATGTTTTTAGAAGAACAAACTCCTCAGCATATCCTATAACATTCAGACCTAAATTGACCCCCCCTATTTAAGCAGAAAATCCAGCTGCTCCTCCCACAGCGGGAAGGACTGTGCTCCAAACTCAGCATTGTGTTTGATCTGAAATATGTTTGATTTTGCATTACTTTCTTCTTGGCTTTCCTTTTGAGTGATATTGTTTTGGAAGGACTTGTGCATTTGTCCTGTGTCTTCTGATACGGTGAACTAAAGTGGTGAAATGTGGCGTGATTTTCTACCTCTTTCTGTAAAAGAGCAGATACAAATAATGCGGCTGTTGAATAGAACATCTGGATGTCTAAAATGGAGCCGAAGAAACATAATGAAAGGGACATTTAACAGGCGGAAAAATGTACAAACTATGTAAGACTGTTTTTATTTGTATTTTTGGCCTTTCTTGTCACTCATTAGCATTTCACTAAAACCAACACATCAGCAAGGTTGCTCATTCCAATTTGACAGTTTGAATAGGTTTGAATTTTGTTTCTGTATTTTGACGACTGTTTTTAAATGATCGTCTGAGACTCAAGATGGACTAGGTAGTGAAACATTTAGTGAGAATCTGCATTTATAAATGAATGCTAGTAAAGCCCTGTTGCTTAACTTTTAAGGATATTGAGAGCTTTTGAATGGAGTTTGGGTTTTACAGGGGAAGCAGTGGTAGTTGTATCTCCACGGTCTGCTTCCTGAAATGTTGTGCCTGTGGAAAATGAATAAGCAACTCCTTCCTGTCTCAAAAAGAACCCTCTCTTTCAGTCTGCACCTGCAAAGTGTTTGCCAGTAGAAAACTGAAGTCGTTCAGTTTGTTTCCATATTATGGATGTGTGTAAGGGAGAATGTAAAGCAGGCAACTCCCTCAATTTCCTCTGAATAAATAAATGTTGACGACCAAGTAAATTATGATTTACAAGCACATTAATAGCCCACAAAATTGGTTTCACTGGATTAAAAACTTAGACCCTGAGGCACAAATTATTCATTGAAGTGTAAGCCTTCACCGTCCAGCCAACTCTCTCCGTCCCTGGGATACCAGACTCTCCTGTCGTTTATAAAAACAAGAGCGACAGTTACGTAATCCACATGTTTTCTTTAATGGTCAGCCAGGCACATTTATGAGAGTTTGTTCTCTTGCAAACATATTGTCCTAACCTGAAATATACTGCACCTGTGGGCATGTCTAACCACAAAACCTGTCCCTATGTATGTCTTTAAATCCAACAACTAAGATTTACTACACTTATTTTCCCTCAAACGCATCACATATCATATGATTTATATAGGAATGTCATAAAAAGCAATGACAGGATTGCAAATCAGTACACGGCAACACATGATGCTAATTCCATATGTCTGTGATCCGTTTATTGGTAGTGATGTATGACAGTAAGTCCACGCTCGAAGGATATGACCAAACAACAGGTAAATGTACTCGTGCATGCATAATCAAAAGCACATCTGATTGTACGTAAAGTAAAAACAAATACTGAAATGTTTGCAAGAATTTCATGCTGTTTTATTGGTTGTATAATTGCAACGACCTTACCTAGATTTTTAATCCATTTTTCTCAACTCCCTGTAAAATTCTTAATTAAAACATTTGGAAAATAGTATTTTTTTTAATGTATTCGTCCAACTGACAATATTTGTTTAATGTTGTAACCTAGTTTTGTTTTAGTTGTAAGAAGACGGAAACAAACCAAATGTATAAATAGAAATGTCAGATTTTCCCAGATGGCGGCGTTCACATGCACCTGATGAACTCTGGTCTTTCTAAAACTAGTGTCAAATTCCAATGTATAAATGAAGTTGATATAAATATTAGTAATAGACCTATGTGACAATATTGAAAGCGTGTTCAGCAACAGATCTCTGTCTCAGTCTGAAACCGACACCTCGGTAACAACGCACAGATTATTTAGGGAATCTGGATGTTGTTTACTCTGAGAGTTCACGTCAGTCATTTCAATAAGGATCTTTCCCCCATGTTTCACTTGAACCAAAAACGGTTTGTAATTCAAGAACCTAAAGTACTTATTGTTGAGACAAGTACACATTTGCTTGTCCTGAAACGCCACAGCTGTGTTTAGCTAACCTCAGCAAGTGAGTCTTTAAAAGACACCGCATGAGATGAGCCTACTATTTTATAAAGTGTGCTGGCTCGGTTGAGGCTTTGTGGGACACTTTTCTTAGTTTTACTGTCTGACTCTTCTTTCTGGATGAACACCAAAGTGGTTTGAGAACAGACACTGCTCAAATAAAATCCCTGTGTTGCTATATTTGCTGCAGGACTTCACTCTGGTCCTTTGTTAGCATCAAACCAGCCCTCATGTTAACATTACATCTGCCATAATTCAACAGATATAAGTAAATCGATTTTTTAAATCAGATTTACATGTTTGATTTTTGTGAATCTAATGTATTTTTGTACATCCTTAATCCCTCAATTCACCCTTAAAACTCTTAACATGGTATTAGCTCTCAAAGCTAACAAGCACTAGGTTGCATTAAGATATTTCAAACATCTTCTGCTCAAAGGAATTAGTAATCCAGTTCAATTTGTTGACACACAGACACATCGCAACCTCTCTTCAGTTCCCATGACTGCTCTGCAACATGACTCTCGTGGGGGGGGGGGGGGGGGGGGAACTCCCGCGATTTACGGGAAGAATCATAAAACTGTAACCCAGACTATACCAGGAAACTATGGGCATGAACCTACACTTAGTGACTCTTTCGTCAGCTAATATAACTACACACGTGAAGTTACTCATCATCCTCGCTGTGTCCGTTTTTATCTCGTAAAATAACTGAATGCTTCCGATGACTAATTACACACTGCGGGGATCCTGTTGTAAAATACATCATCAATATCTAGCAGTGGAAAACGTTTTCTAATAAACCCTCTTGGACTTTTGCACAGTAGAGCTTCTGTACATGTGGCCGAGGCAGGGGAACTTCTGTTTGCCCCACTACTTTCCAGCCCCAGCCTCCTCCAGGACCAGAGATGTGGTCCATTACTCGTCCTCTGTGAGAAGCATCTGGACCAGGTTCCAGGCAATCTGCTGCCACACAACGACTGGCTGTTTGCTGCAAGGGTGGCCCGAATGCAGTAATGAATCAGCCCCGACTGTAACAGCGGCTCAAAGGAAACCAAATATACACCGAGTCGCTGCAGCGTCGCACTCAATCCGTGTGATTGAAGCCTGCTGACAAGAAGGTCGGGCACGCTGTTTGTTTTAGTTTCACTTCATCTGGGAGCGTCTCTGCCAGGCGACTTGGTCCATTTGTTGTGAATCATTGAAAGCAGGGTTGCTGATGGCTGGAAAACGTTTGCAGTGAATTGTGGGGTTTTAAGCTGCAAGTCACAGCGTCTGAATCATAGATTTGCAACATCCATTCTTGTACATTTACTGCTTTTACTTACTGTAGTACTTTTAACATTTTACATATCGAACAGTATACAGGTGGATATGGGGGAAAAGTGTGTAAAAACCTCTTGTTTATTATTCTTTTAATCATCAATTACTCAATGTATCTTTATCCCTATGTTGGGAACCACACTACTAAGCTATACTCTTTATCCACTTGCTTTTAACACTTGGGAAATAACACTTCATGTAGGATTTGGATTGCATGACTTGGTTCATTTACTGAAGTAAAGGATCCCGTTACTTCTTCCCCCGCTGTTTCTCAAATCTCTTACGTGATATGTTTCAGAAAGTGTTTTGTTTTCATATTGCATTACTTTTTTGAGATGACTCATTTGGGTTTGGTTTCTGTCTCCTGCAGCGCAGCACGAGAGATGACTGACCACGCAGCCGCTTGGAACGAATGACAGAAGATTACACACGCCGGGTTTGAAATGAGAAGATGCCAGCAGCAGAAAATGAATGTCATTTGATTACATTTAGGAATAAGAAGATGCTGTTGACCGTTTTACCTCCAATGGATGCCTGAAGTTTCTCCAGCAGAATCAGCAGCAGCTTTTTAACTGAAAGGGTCTCTTGGTGGAAGTCTGCCAGCGGGGGGCCAGGATGTGGCCCCCTGACCTCGGGCCTCCAGACGTCCAGCTGACTCTTCCTGGCTTTGGCAGTGTGTTTGAGGATGCCGAGGACCCTCAGGCGCCGCTGTCTTCTGGTGGCTTCTGTCAGTCCTCCATGCATTCAGGTGGTCTCGGTGTGTGCTGTCTTCCAAGGACTTCCCTGTCCTCGCTGGGCCGCGACCTCACCTCCCACATAGAAAAGACAATGGAGGACTTTGCCACCCCGGGGCACACAGATCCTAAAAACAACACCCAGAGGTTCAGCTGTTACCCCCAGCCCTCCCTCCCTTTATCCTACATGCCCTCTAGCTGTACCACATCGCCTCCTTTTGGCTCTCCACCCTCCTCTCTGTCCTCTTCCTTCTCCTCATCATCTTTGTTTTTTTCCTCCCCTCTTTCTGATGCACCTGGTGGCAACAAGACTCCTCATCTACAACAAAAGATACAGGAAGAGTATCACTCAATAAAACAAGAGCCTACAGATGATTTCTCGCCGTGTAAGAGGGAACAGTTTCAAAACAACAACCAGCGAGGGGAGCTGTTCCATGTGGGCCAGACCTTTAAAGGTCAGGAAGGCCCCCAACTTCACATCCCGAGGCTTAACGGACCCTTAGGCCAGGACCCTTCAGTGGACCATCAGGACCAGCCACTGACGTGCCACTGGATCGACTGCAGCGCCACCTACTGCAGCCAGGAGGAGCTGGTGAGGCACATCGAGAAGGTCCACATCGACCAGCGCAAAGGAGAAGAGTTTTCCTGTTTCTGGGCCAGCTGCGTGCGACGCAACAAACCCTTCAACGCTCGCTACAAACTGCTCATCCACATGAGGGTCCACTCCGGAGAGAAGCCCAATAAATGCATGGTGAGTCGCTTTTCTTTTGTCTGGTGGATCACAATAACTATGATTTCTACAGAAAAACTAAAACAAATAATTTGTATCACTAAATCAGACTTGGCAGCTTTCCACTGCTTACCATGCGGCGAGATAAAGATACAAGAAACATTCAAATATTTACAAGAGTTTCTACTTTAAACATTGGTGGTTAGCACGATGTCATGTTTTGATGTCAGAAATGAATGATTTTTATTGCTAAAAAACAATTTGGGCTTGACATAGTTTATGTTGGGTTGTTCCATGCTAATAAAGTTGTAGTTGTAGTACAGGTACCTATTGCATTTTGAATGCAAAAATAAACTTGCTCCTGGTCTTACCTAATAAAACAGGTTGAATACATACTAATAGGAGCAGAAGAGAATATAAATGAACATAAATCAAGGCAAATAAACTCAAAGTTCACTCCTAGATGAGAGGTTGAGAAATGACCTGCCTTTCAATTGTACAACTGACCGCTAGAGGTGCTGTAGAGCAATGCTAACCTCTCCAAATCAGCTCCACCAAAACATATACAACCATTTTCAGTCAGTCAAAACAAATCCTTTCCAATGTTTTGTTGCATTGAAAGGGGATTTGAAAGACCTAGCTTACGGTATGTCTCGACTTCACTGGGCAGCCATTGATCGAGAGGCTGTGAGACAGAGAGATGATCCAATGGTTTCCTCTCCTTGCGACAGGTTTCCCTTACTCATGCTCGCCAGATGACGAGACATGTAGGTGTTGTATGAATGGAGGATTTGTCTTGAGGAGCCAGTATCCAAAAACCTGCTCATCGCCCTGAGGTTATTCTGAGAAATCCAATAATTTAACGTTATTAGGTAATGATGCAATCAACTGATAAATCATTCATTCTGGCAGAAAGTCTTTCAACAAGATACTTTGTCTTGCCTTCTAAAAGTCCCTGTCATCTGAAACATCCCTATTGAAATGTAAAAAATGGTTTTGATGTCTGGGTTGATTTGTTTGTGAGATTAAAGACTACAAATCCCAGAATTCTTGGGGAACCAAACACCTGTTGAGCAGCTACTTTGTAGAAAACATATTGTAAAAGCTTGAGGTTATTACCTTGCTGTAACTCTTCATCCAAGCGATCACTGCGGCTGCTTCTTTTTGTTGCATTACTTTCTGCAAAATCTAAAACCGATGAACAAAGCTCCCCCAAAATAACATTTTTAACATCACATTGCACTTCCTGTAAACTATATGTTCCCAAAGAGAAAACCCTGTAACCATTTCCTGTCTGAGCTACTTGACTTGTGAAACATACAGGCTGCTTATAAGGATGATGGCCTATAAACCCATAAAATGTAAAAGTTAGGAGGCACGTCCCGGATAAAGACGAAACCAGACCAGATTAGGTCCGAAAAGAGACACTTTCTGCTTTGACCATCACAGCCTTGGCCTTTGAGCCCCAGCACAGCCTCACATCTGTCATGAGTCACCTTTTGAAACACGACTTTTGCTGCCTGAACACATCTGCCTCATGATGACCTTCAGCTCGGCTCCAAATCCCCGTCCCTGAGGGTGAGTAACTCTCTCCGTTATTCCCCAGCGATTTCTTTGCTGTCGTCAAACTGAGGCTGCGATGAATAGTTCCTTCAGAAATCTTCATTCAGGGACACGCTTCCTTCTTAAGTTAATTAGTTCATTCAAATGATTAAACCTGCTGCAAGCTTGTAAATATATGACTTTGGCGAGTCGCCTGCAAACAGATTCATACTAATTTAAATCAACTCACAAGAAAAGTCAGTCGCGCTTGAAACTATATGAATAACGTCATTTTATTTTTTCATTAACTGCTCAGCTCAAAACATGTAAATTAAGTCATTCCTGGTGCAGTAATGGAAAAAGTGTGTGTGTGTGTGTGTGTGTGTGTGTGTGTGTGTGTGTGTGTGTGTGTGTGTGTGTGTGTGTGTGTGTGTGTGTGTGTGTGTGTGTGTGTGTGTGTGTGTGTGTGTGTGTGTGTGTGTGTGTGTGTGTGTGTGTGTGTGTGTGTGTGTGTGTGTGTGTGTGTGTGTGTGTGTGTGTGTGTGTGTGTGTGTGTGTGTGTGTGTGTGTGTGTGTGTGTGTGTGTGTGTGTGTGTGTGTGTGTGTGTGTGTTGAATTCAATCTAATTTGACGGCTCGTTATGTTAAGTCTCAGATCAGACAGGTGCTACTCAAGCTGTGAACACAAGCTCCTGAAGCGTTTTTAAATACACCACGATGGAGTCATCAGTCATAACTTATGGTCCTGCATTAACATTCTGGTCGGATGCATATAAAGGATATCTTTATGTTTTCCTTTCCGTCAACACACCCCAGGAAAGACCAAAACTATACAAAAATATCTGTGTTGCCAACCCTGATCTTATTTCTCTGTGCCAAAGTGACACTGTTACAAAAAACACGTGGAACCAATGGCACAGGTTTGCACTGGCTGACACGTTTCTTTACTAAAATGAACAAGGCCACTGTAGTTAATTGTGCGTCAATCACACAAACATTGCCAAGACTCTCCGTACAAGAAAAATGACAGCATCATTACTCAGTTCCAGGTAACGACATACACGTACGTTGAAGTTACAAAGCAATCCAGGTCTCATTAGTTCAACAAAGTATTCTCCTTTAACATGAAAGACTGCTGTTTTATTTATTTATTCCAACCTAAAGACCACATTGATTATTTTGGTCCACCATTCAAAACATAATTGAAAACGAATACTGGGCTTATATAAGAATGCTTACCCAATATCTGGCACATTTTACAGAATATCGATAAATGTTTTTGTTTGAATTGAGTACATTTTGATAAATTGTGAAAAAAACAAAACATGGACTCCTATTGGACCTTTTTAAGTATTTTATTTTCACATGTTAACATCCTTGTTTTATCTTACTTCTGGTAACCAAAAGTAAAAATGATGTTGGCCTGTAAGTAACACATAATAAAAATCATATTTTCACATTACATATGAGTGAAGTTGAAGTCTGGTCCAACAGTAATAACTTGAAAGGAGGTCATAAATCACGGTTTAATTTGATACGTTTTAGGTTATTGAATCATAAACCTCAGGTAATGGCCTTTCCCCAAATTGCATGGAACAACACACACACACACACACACACACACACACACGGAACTGACAAGAAGCAAATACCAGTCTGCAGGCTACAAACTGCGGGCCGTAAACTAAAGCGTTGTTACTTTAAAGAAACCGTGTCAAATGTAATCTCAAATCTCACACACTAAAAATGTTTTCATTTATGTCATGCAAGTTAAAGTTTATATGGAAATATTTCTCAAGGTTTGATTTGAACATCCTGGCTCTCTTAAAGGAAGTGGGAGAACATACAGATGATCACAGGAGAGCACTTTTTCCATCATTCAAAACTTTCTAAAATCCCCTTGTGTTGTAAATGCAACACATTCTGAACGTTAGGAATGTGTTTTCAATGCTTTCAGCCATCATTTAGATTCAACTAAGTGCAATCTACAAAAGTACCTAAAATAACAGTTGGTTACATGATGTCATGCCATTAAATAAGGTAAAAGCCCAAGGTTTAGTTTATGAAAAGGATTATATATCCGTAAACAAGACTTCAAACAGGATCCGGGTCTGGTTCTTAAATAATTAAAATACAAACATAAAGAGTTTTCACCCTTTGTAAACTAGTCCAGAGGAAATTATGGAAACAGTTTTTCTACCCAATATTCATTCCAGGGGTTTTATTAGGTCTCGCTAATGAGTCAATAAATGTCATTCACCTCGTTTATTTTAATAACTGTGTGCATTAAGACAGACTACAACATGGAGATTAATTCATCCAAGACTGGAACTCTCCTTAAAAAACAACAAAATAACAAAAACAACCCATAAAGAAAAACAGATCCGTGACTGAAATAAGTTAACGCTCGAATGCTCATGAGTACTTAGCAGTTTATTAGCACACATCGACTATAGATTATGTCTTTTGATGAGAAGGGAAACTGAGGGAATGCAGCTTTATGTGGACTGATCAGTCAAAGTTTAACAATGAGTTGTTGGAAAGGAGGAAACACTCATTACCCTTTAAGTGTTGCTCGTCACTAGTTCAGGGATGAAGTAGTAAAAACATCGTTTAACAAAACATTAAGAAAATGTTAACCCACCCTCGAAATAATACACATATGTCCACTTAAAAGAAACATATTTCTAAAGTATTTTACAGTAGAAATACGAAGTCAAGTTTTATGTTATATATATATATATATTTATTATACTGTGTCTCCAAAATAATAGTGTTTTCTTTATTATTACATACAACTAAGAAGCTCGAGGAAACAGTGCATTGAACTTTATTTTGTCAGACATTTAGTAAAGTGTGTCCTTCAATATGTAGATTATTACTCAGTACTGGTAATTGTACATTTTCTATTGTAATCATTTAATGTATTAATGTGTAGTTAAATGATTAAAGGCTGGCAATATTCAACAAACAAATCTTATAAAAAGAGGTGATGATAATAACAACACTTTCATTTAGGTAATTTTAGTCAGGGGACAATGACTAAATGAATATAAAATACTTAAAAGGTCCAAAAGGAGTCAAATAGCTTTGTCCATGGTTGTTTTTTTTCCACAATTTATCATAATTTACTCAATTCAAACAAAAACATTTATCGATATTCTGTAAAATGTGCCAGATATTGGGTAAGCATTCTTATATAAGCCCAGTATTCGTTTTCAATTATGTTTTGATTTATTACTACGCCCTGTTGGATGAAATCTCTCTTTAGCCCTGACCCTAATGTAACTTTAAGCTGCTATTAACTCTGACTCTTTTAACTATTCCCTTTTACTCTAAATGTTTGATGTGTCAGGTTTCAGTAAGCCTCTTTGTTTATATGTTCCTTGTCAGTTTGAGGGCTGCCTCAAGGCGTTTTCCCGTCTGGAGAACCTGAAGATCCACCTGAGGAGCCACACGGGAGAGAAACCGTACATCTGCCAGCACCCCGGCTGCCTCAAGGCCTTCAGCAACTCCAGCGACCGCGCCAAACACCAGCGCACACATCTGGACACGGTCAGTAACACACAGCCACACTGCACGTGCTTTAAAGACCACACTTTACATTCAAAAATAACCAGCACACAAATCTCATTAAATGAAACCAGTAACCAGAATGTTCCGTCTGTTATGGTATTGAAGAAATACTCTCTTTTAAAAACAACATTAATGAGTTTTTCTTTTTATGAGTACAAATGATGAGGACAAACAATGGGCCTTGTGCAGCAACTTCCTCTTAATAAATGTATCAGCTAATTAACAACTTTAAGAAAGAAAGGAAATCCATTAAACCGTGAAAAACTCGGCCAATTTCTCTTTGTATGTTTGGCCCTTTGTGTTGTGGGGAGGAAATGGTTTGAACAGCTTAGTTAAACAGGAAAAATGTCAAAAACCAAAAACAGTTGAATAGAAAAGGTCGAACTGCATTCTTGCAGAACTTGAAATAAAAAAAAATCTTGGGAAATGCACACAAATCACAAGTGTTTTTTTATCATTCAAATCCATCTCTTTCAGTGACGACTTTGCAGCTTTGATTTATACGAACTGCGTAGTAGACGATAGAATATTAAAATAAAATCTTGTCCTTCACTATCACACTTTATGAAAACACGCTGAAGAAATCATCATCTAATAACTCTAAACGCTTAAACTGACTGGGGGATGTTTCAGGGGATCAGGATCATAAATATAGGCTTCTGTTACAAAAGAAGTTATGAAATCCACTACTGATGACACCTGAGAGGATACAGAAAGAAGCTCTTGTTCCTTGAAACTCTTGCTCCTTGAAATCACATCTTCATAACTCGCCACTGCTCCCTTTCGCTGCCAAAAGATCGCCCTAACAATCTGGCTCTTCCTATCAAGGCTCTAAGTTATTCAAGTACTATTTGTAGGTACAGTACATGCATTTTACATTTTATGCTACTCAAAAATACTACATTCACTAATACTGAAAAGAAAAGTCTACACTTATTCTCACTTCTACTGTGACATGATTTAATGTTCAAAGTGTTTTATTTTCCCTCTGTCTGAAACCAGAGCCCAGTCTGCTCTGATTGGTCAGCTGGCCGGCTCTGTTGTGATTGGTCAACAGCATGGAGATGTCCCGCCCCTTAGCCTATCATGTACAATGTGTTAGTGAGTAGCCCTAACCCTGAACCCTAAACCTATCAAATACACTACAGGAAAGGGAAAACCCCAAAAAGCATAAAATGGCCCCTTCCATGTATTAGGAACATTTACTTTAAAGCCTTCCCTGTCTGAAGAACAAAAAGGCGTCACTTTAATATATAACTTAAGCATTTGTAGGCATAAATCCTCAATCTCCTGTCGGCTCTCAATAGACGGACTTCTTTATGACACGATATGTGTTGGTAATAAGGGGTTATGTTTAATTTGAAGTGCCACTGCTCCCCTACTCCATCCTATTTCTGGGTACAGAACAGAACATTCTTTAGGATCGTGTAACTACATACCTGCTGTGGATTTATTCTGTAAACCACAGTTATTTTTACTCCTGCTGACAAGCGATGAGGATTTAGCAGTAATCCAACAAATCAGATCTCTTATTACACGGGTGAGATGGAGCTGTACGATGCACTCGGTGTTATTACAACGAGAGGAGAGAGTTATTTTCTCCTTTTTGTGGTTTCACGCTGGATAATGGCGGCTTCGCAGTTGCGTCACAAATCCAGAATCAGACACATCTGGGGCTCCGAGATGGCGCCAGATGTGCCTAGATGTAAATAATTGGTGAAAATAGTATTACAAGCAGCCAAGAAAAGACTGGTGTCAATACAAGTTATTTATGTTTGATTTAATATCTTGTATTGTGTTACTAATGTTATAGATAATAGTGTGTTATGAAAGATTTGTTTCCAAGATGTGGTCAGTGTCATGCAGATGTGTCTCAACTAAGATTTGCAGCTCACATGTTGCTTGTTTTTGGGTTTTTCAATCAGTTCAAACCGATATCACACCTAGTGCTTATTCAAGTCTTTATTGATCCATCAAGTACATGTATTAGCAAATGTTGAACACAACAAGACCAATCAAAACTACGAAACTCTGAATGTTGTTGTTTCCTGTTTGAATTCACATGCTTCGTAAACTAAAGCATTTTAATCCTAACATCTTGAATTTCAACATCACACAGAAAAGCTTTGTTTAAGCTCTGCTGTTTATGTTTTCCATATTTGTATAATTTTGACACACACAGTTGCATTTTGAGATGTCAATTCATCAATTCATGCTGACATGCAAACACCAAGGATACACAGTCAAGTTGAACGCTTCACTATCCGTTTTGCCTCGCATGACATATCGTTTAAATACATATTGCCTAACTTTTGCCGGAATAAAGCGTACGGCACTACGGCACTGTAGAGGAGGGTAATACAACTAAATACAATAACAAGTATGATTTGACAAAACTAAGAGGTGTGAGAAGTTCGGTCATCAGGGAGGGACTCGGAGTTGAGCCGCTCCTCCTTCGCGTCGAAAGGAGCCAGTTGAGGTGGTTCGGGCACCTAGTAAGGATGCCACCTGGGCGCCTCCCTAGGGAGGTGTTCCAGGCACGTCCAGCTGGGAAGAGACCAAGGGGTAGACCTAGGACCAGGTGGAGGGATTATATCTCTTCGCTGGCCTGGGAGCGCCTTGGGATCCCCCAGTCAGAGCTGGTTGATGTGGCCAGGGAAAGGAACGTTTGGGGCTCTCTGCTGGAACTGCTACCCCCCGCGACCCGACCACGGATAAGTGGGAGAAGATGGATGGATGGAAGAGGTGTGCACTATCACTATTTCACTTCAATAACATCCCACTCTAATCATACAAATGTTCAAACTTTGGGTGAGCTAAATATGTTCACTTGCTCTCTACAAAAACAACAGAAATATATTTGTATATTTACGTCCTTACCGTTGTTTCCCTGACGTAATCAAACTCACGTTTTCCTACTTATAACTTTTAAATACTTCATTCATGGTTAAGTGTTTTTGACCTTGTACATGTGTGCTGTTTTAAAAACCCCTCCACCCTTTCTTTGATAAACAGTGGGTTAGTTTGTTCTCTTTGTTACCACCACGTAGGTCATTATTTTTGACTGTTATGTTCAGATCCTACTACATAAACCAACAAGATTCATCGAAAAATGTGTTTTCATGGAAACTTAATTCAGTCCACCTGGTGAAACACTCAGTTATCCAAAGTGGGGGAAAAACCTGTGAGGAATTAGATTCATGGAAATGAGCTCATTTGCCTAACCAAACTATCAATCTTCACGAGATTGTGAAAAACACGACACAAAATCCAAGAGCAGAAATGTGCTTCTCTCTCTAGCTAAACGCTATAAAAAACAGCGATTCAAAGTTTAGAAATCGCTCGGTTTTAACTGTTGTTGTTTCAAGGTTAGAAAATATGCTTCAGTTAAAAAATACTCCTTGAAAATACATTACTTTCGGGGTTGTCTAACCTGACAACATGGACGCCAGGCGCGTGCAGCCGATCAAGCTCACCAGAGTCACCAAGGTGCTCGGAAGAACTGGTTCCCAGGGACAATGTACACAGGTCCGTGTTGAGTTCATGGACGACAGCAACCGCTCCATGATCAGGAACTCTGACGGGGGTCAGAGAGGGAGACACTTCTGGAGTCTGAAAGAGAAGCCAGGAGGCTGCGAGAGTGGCCCCTGAGCTGTGAGATGCGAGACCAATACAGTGAGGAATCACTCCATATCACTTGTTCAGATGCTATGAAATAAATGTGGTCTTATTTGGCACAGATGTCACTTGTTCAAATGCTATGAAATACATTTGGTTGTTAAGATCACAGTAGGTGTTCTGTTTTTACTTTGTTCATACTCATAGTAAATAAAAACTGTTTTCATAAATATTATCATTAAAAAAAGAAAATACATTACTTTCAACATAATCTGTTTTACATCTACTCAATCACTCAAATAAACCAAGAAAGTATTCAACACATACCCTGTGTCGATATACATTGATTGCTTTGGGTATGAAGGAACTGCTTTGTTTGCAATTGCATTTAAAGTAACAATATCAATGTGATGATTAAGTCTGAAAAAACATCAATAATTGTTACGGTAAGAAAGCGATACGAACCCTACAAATGTTTATATTTTCCATATAAAGACGTGGTATTTTATGGTTACTATATTATATATAGATCCTTTGCTTTGAAAGGTTTACTACATCTAGAAATAACCATCTGGAAAACTCCTCTCCAGCTACTGATCGTAGGAAGATCACTATCTAAAGTTTACATTATGAACACATTAACTTATGACTGAACAGGATGGAGTGTTTACGATCTGTTCCTCTGAACTCTTCTCTCTCTTCCTCTCCTTAAGCCTGCAGACTAAAGGTAAATATACTGCATTTTGAGTCTTTCCTATAAAATCTTGACTTAATCTTCACTTCTTTCCTTCCTGTTAGTACACATGTCATGCTGAGTGAGCACATGTATCCTAAATGTTTGCGTGTAATACACAGTACTACTGTACACAGCCTCACACCTGTAAACAATCTGCACTATGACTCAGCTAAACTTGTACTGTTATTTCTAAACACGATTTTATTCTGTGTTTATCATCATATCCATAAACCAGATGTGGTGAATTGTATGACCTGATTTACAAAGTTCTGAGTTTGTGTAAGTCATGAAACTAAAAGTATAGAGTTGAATATTCTGTAAAGGGTACAATAAGGTTAATTGGTGGAGTAACTAAGTACTTTTATTCAAGTATTGTACTAAATTACAATTAGTCCCACAGAGAATTTACATTGTTACAGCAGAAAAGAGCCTACGAAAGAACTTAAGTGTATTTGTACTTTACTTCAATTTGATGCCACTATAGTTACTTGGTACAATAACATTTTTGCAACATGAAAACACACTTAAAATGACTCAATACTACAGTACTTTAGTTTCTCTTCCCTCACAGCTTTGTTTATCTTTTTCTTGTCGTTCCTCACCCCTTCTTGTTGTGGTTCATTCACAGAAGCCGTACGCCTGTCAGCTCCCAGGATGCACCAAGCGCTACACCGACCCCAGCTCGCTACGGAAACACGTCAAAGCTCATTCAGCCAAAGGCCTTCAGGAGAGAGAGGTCAAGGTAACAACAGCAGTTATATCCTTACATGTTGCACATTAAGAAAAACACTGATTACTTCTCTTATCACCAACATCTTTAATAAAACCTCCGTGTGTTTCTAAAGATATGTGAGATTAGAAGTGGAGGAAAGGCAAGGCAAATAAATAAATACAAATCAAGTAAAAGAGGTCAATATAAACAGTTTTCTTTGTTCAAAAGTAAAAATTATTACTTTTTGTGGCAGTAAAACGACACCCCTGGACTCGGACCAGTGGCATGGCGGATTAATGGTCGGGGTTTTAAACCGCTAGGCCACCACAAAGCCATAAATCACCATAAATCACCATAAACCATAAACCACCATAAATCATGTATTTATTACTCTACGGTCATAAAATCCTGATGCTTGACCTCTGGTGAACAGAGATTCAGTAAAGTTTCTTTGACATTGCATTTTCTTGGAAAATAAGGTCCATTTCAATATAGTGGTTAACCCTAATCTTTTTTCATCTTGGTTTCTGGGCAGTTTTACGATCGTGCAAATACTGTTTCAGAAGCTCCTCTGTCGTATCAGGGATAACATTCAACATCAAAAACACACTTCATGACTTTTCATGAAAATTGTAAAATTCAAAGATATATACTGTATGTATATAAAGTGGGGCAAAACAGTATTTAGTCAGCCACCAATTGTGCAAGTTCTCCCACTTAAAAAGATGAGAGGCCTGTAATTGTCATCCTAGGTACACTTCAACTATGAGAGACAGAATGGGGGGAAAGAATCCAGGAAATCACATTGTAGGATTTTTAATGAATTAATTGGTAAATTCCTCGGTAAAATAAGTATTTGGTCACCTACAAACAAACAAGATTTCTGGCTCTCACAGACCTGTAACTTCTTCTTTAAGAGCCTCCTCTGTCCTCCACTCGTTAACTGTATTAATGGCACCTCTTTGAACTCGTTATCAGTATAAAAGACACCTGTCCACAACCTCAAACAGTCACACTCCAAACTGCACTATGGCCAAGACCAAAGAGCTGTCAAAGGACACCAGAAACAAAATTGTTGACCTGCACCAGGCTGGGAAGACTGCATCTGCAATAGGTAAGCAGCTTGGTGTGAAGAAATCAACTGTGGGAGCAATTATTAGAAAATGGAAGACATACAAGACCACTGATAATCTCCCTCGATCTGGGGCTCCACGCAAGATCTCACCCCGTGGGGTCAAAATGATCACAAGAACGGTGAGCAAAAATCCCAGAACCACACGGGGGGACCGTCAATGACCTGCAGAGAGCTGGGACCAAAGTAACAAAGGCTACCATCAGTAACACACTATGCCGCCAGGGACTCAAATCCTGCAGTGCCAGACGTGTCCCCCTGCTTAAGCCAGTACATGTCCAGGCCCGTCTGAAGTTTGCTAGAGAGCATTTAGATGATCCAGAAGAGGATTGGGAGAATGTCATATGGTCAGATGAAACCACAATAGAACTTTTTGGTAAAGACTCAACTAGACGTGTTTGGAGGAGAAAGAATGCTGAGTTGCATCCAGATGTCTCCAGATCTCAACCCCATAGAAAATCTTTGGAGGGAGTTGAAAGTCTGTGTTGCCCAGCGACAGCCCCAAAACATCACTGCTCTAGAGGAGATCTGCATGGAGGAATGGGCCAAAGTACCAGCAACAGTGTGTGAAAACCTTGTGAAGACTTACAGAAAACGTTTGACCTCTGTCATTGCCAACAAAGGGTATATAACAAAGTATTGAGATGAACTTTTGTTATTGACCAAATACTTATTTTCCACCATCATTTCCAAATAAATTCTTTAAAAATCAGACAATGTGATTTTCTGGATTCTTTTTTTTCTCATTTTGTCTCTCATAATTGAGGTGATGAAAATTACAGGCCTCTCATCTTTTTAAGTGGGAGAACTTGCACAATTGGTGGCTGACTAAATACTTTTTTGCCCCACTGTATAACTATATTATATTAATTATTACATGTCATTTGTTAGACGCTTTTATCCAAAGCGACTTACATACATTCAGTAAGGTGGACAATCCCCACAGGAGCAATTTGGGGTGAAGTGTCTTACCCAGGGACACAACGACATGCTGACTGCAGTGGGACTCGAACTTGCTACCCCCTGATTCGAAGTCCAGCGCACTATACACAGCAGCCGCCTCGCCTTATATAAATACAAAACATTTCTTGTTTGTTTTTCACGAAAAACTATGATCACAAAGAACACGTTTCCTTTCTGGCATGCAGTTAACAATGTTCCCTTTTAACAAAACTAAGGCAACGTTATTCCAGTTTATTTAAGGGCCATTTTAAGCATATTTTGATGATAATCAAGATATTAAATATTGTAAATCCCAATGATTGTGAATAGGATCATTGTGTCATGAAATGTTCACATCGTCTCGTGCTTTCAGAAAGAACATGGCAGCAACAAAATTATACAAAAATGCAGTTCTTTTAGAATAAAGTGCATTAATAAGAAGGACTTCTTTAACATTGGGTTCTCCGAAAGCATCTTTAGGGTCAGTGACGTTAGTGAAGCAGCCTGGCTCTGCTCTTAATAACTCTCTGTGAGAAAGATGTAGAGCCACAGGAGGAGAGAGCAAGCATGTTTATGATTCAGTAGGATGAAACGCAACCAAACAAAGTATTACACACACTTCGCTGGAAGTCAGCATAGGGAGCCTATTGTTCACCCTTATCTGGGCCTTGTTTGTTTTCTATGGCCCGTGAGTGACACAGGGCTTTGTGTGTATTCCCGTGCCTTGTTTGTCTTAAACAGAAACACGTGTGCTTGTAAATTGTGACATGGCCTACACGCCCTGCGCTGCAGTAAATGTGCGCTGCGGGGCTACAGAGAACTTTGAAATATTAAACATGTACTTCAGAAACTCCTCACTCTTCAGGCGGATGCGTCACAGCTTATGAAGTTTGTATCTTCATAAACAGTGGTTTTGGGCGCACATTTTTCGCTGATTATTCATCACTCTTTTGTGGTTCCTTGGTGTCCTTCACAAGCTCCTCTGCTAGTCCTGGAGCTGACCATAAACTGTTTTGGAAAGTCCTGGGGGGATCCTCTGTTAACGCGGGATAATAAAGTAAATTGTCTTGTCTTAACTTTGGTAGAACATCTTGGAATAAGTTGCATAACGATATTTCTGGAGAAGTCGGATTGAAAGGCCAAACGAGAACCAGGCATCTGCTCCAAGTGACATTTCTTTGAAAAATGAACAGTAAAAAAGGGCCCGTGGACAAAGCGCTGTGTTGTCAATTGATCTACTGTTTGTAATCAAAATTAATCGTTTCAATGTTTGGCTTCATGGGAGCCGTGTTGCCCAACAGCAAAACACAATTGGAAGAAAGCTGTAGCTTAAACATAATTACTCTCATCCGTCCGTACATGCAGGCACATGTTCCCCAACATGAAGACTTAACATGTTCCACCATTTACTTCTCAGTGGTTTAATGGAACTCCAACCACCAAAAGTCCATGTACTTGAGAACTAACTGAAGTACTTGTACTGGATTCTAAACTGTTTTCTTATCAATCCACCTTATTAAACTCTTATTGTACTTTTAACTTCACCATTATTTGACAGGTATAGTTACTAGTTGCAAACAAAGAGCTTATTAAATATTGTTGTTATAAATTACACTACCAAACAGTATAGATAAAATAAGTACAGCTGAAACAATAAGTCGTTTAACGCGGTAAATGTTACGGCATTTCTCACTCTTTTCTGAATTTTTTAAACCCAAAGAATCAATCGATAAATCTCGAAATGACTAATTAGTTGCAGTGTGATAAAAAATAGTTCAAAATTAGCTCCACTTCAACAAATACAACAGTTAAATCCTAATTTATATTGATGCGTGAATAATAATAATGCAATGATATAATCATAATAATAATAGAATGAAGGTCACATGAGAAATCCTTCTGCATCATGTACTTTTAATATTTTAACTTTTAAGTAAAGGATAGGAATCTCCATCTCTACCACTTTTCACATCTACTTGAACATGATCTGTGTTCTGTCTGACAGGTTCAGGTGCACACGCTGCTGGAGTCGGACATTTTGAGCGATTGTCTGGCGAGGCAGCATCTCCACCAGGGAAACAACTCGCCTTTACCCGGCGTCGATGACTTCACAGGTACGCACGGGTGAAACGGTAGCAAGAGCAAATGTACAAATCAGTGTTTAGTCTCTCTGGAAATGAGACAACAAAGAAAAGAGTAATTGCCCAAACACCTGGGCCGTTAAGCTGTGTCTCTTTCATTTTCTCCCATGGCCTCATTCACTCCTTTTCCTCTCCCTCCTCTCCACCATTCCTGCGATGATAGCTCATCATGCCCGTGTTTACCTTGTCCAATTACCGGGCACTGACTGCGGGCGAGTTGGCCTCCTCCCCGCCCGTCCCTCAGCTAAAAAACCTTTTCCAGCCAAGCTCTGTTTCTTTCCCCTTTCAATGGCTGAACAGGGATCAAGAAGCTGTCAGGTACGCTGAGGCTCAGCTGGCAGAAGAGAGAGCAGAGTGTCCAGGAGAGCTGTCCATGTCTATTACTTCAGACTACTTGCAGCTTTACCCAGAAGACTTTGAGGGGAAAGCCTCAAACGGCACACTATCCGTTATTTTTATTCATGGCGAAACAAGCTTGTCAGTGTTTAATTTTGAAATTGTCCCAAGAGGACTTTCTGCTTATCAGAAATACTCAAATGTTACTTTCTGAATGTTTTGTATAAACCAGTGTCTGTACTTTACTTTATGTATGCAGGATTTATGGCGACATACGCTAACAATCATCAGCCGCTATTCAAGTCAAACCCAAGTGTTGAAAGGCTTGAAGGTTTTTGTGTTACAGTTGCGACGAAAAAATAATGTTTTCAATATCAAACACCTCCTGTAGTTTTGAAACGTGACTCTGAAAATCTTTATTCTTTGCAGGGAGCAGCCGCCGTTGTCAGGTTTCATTTGAACTTTAACAAAATACTTTTAGTGTGAAGAGAATATATAAAAGTCTGTAGAAACTTGTCAAACTGCGCTTGAAACATGACTCACATCTCCTCGGCCCATGTGTATGCTTAGAGTTGGAAACATTGTATTTTCTTTAAAGTGAAAATACGTTAAAGTTATGTTTCTTACCATCACAGTTAGCTGATTAGCCGTTTTGTGAAAAGCTTCTTTGTTGCTAAATTATAGTAATCGTTTTTTCAAATAACAAACAACAGCTCTTTTAGATTTAAGAAGTTGTTGCTTTTCCTATCTTGTGAAGTATTTTCTATTCTCTTAGTAATTTTTGGACAGTTGGTCAGACAAAACAAGAAATTAACCTATGCGTTTAGGATCTATCTTACTACTGACATTTTATGGAACAACTAATACATTTCCAGGTAAACAACAGTCAAATGGAGAATTAGAGTGATCATTAGTGTCGCCCCAGCTCTTGAGTTCATAGCAGACAGCCAAAGACTGTAGCTATTTATTAACCCATATTTCATATCATATTAGTATGATGTTCTCCTACTTTTTTTGTTGTAACTTGTTTATCTAACTTACTTTATGTGAAAAATACCTTTACCACTGAGCAGCTACCTTTCATGGCTTTTGTTAATACTCAGAAAACTGATTTTCAGTGAAGTTAATCCATGTAATGTCTCTCTTTCAGGTGTGTACTCCAACAGCAGCTCCGTCCACAACAGGGCAAATCCTGAGTTCCTCCCTCCGTCCGCGGACACCTGCTCCAGGTATCGAGGCGTGGAGGGAAACTTTGATGCCAACAGCCCGATATCTTCACTGACGAGCGTGAGAGAAGGGTGAGTGTAAGATCCAGGGCCCAGGAGTTCAACACTTTGAATCCCTATCTGATCAGATCAGATTTGGATTTTGGGTAGTTCAAAACCAAAAATCCGATCAGATCAGGAAATCCAATCCAAGCTTTAATCTGGATCAAATCTTCAAAACGGGTAGTTCAAACCGACAACACAGGATTGGGATCAGTTTGATAGTTTGATCCCAAAAAACTGGATTATCCTGATCCCACCAGAGGGGTGGATTTCCAGAGCAAAATGTGCTGTACCATTCATTTTAAAATATGTTTCAATTTAAATAAGATGGCAAAGTTTGTTAACTGAAAACCATTTTTAGCCTTCATGGGGAATACATTTTATTTTTCCATTTTTGCTCACATTTGTAGTGGCCTATTTTGTTTTCAACCAAATGTTGATAACATAAATGTTTATGCTCATAAAAGTATCACAACAAAGATTGTCAATCACAAATGTAATTTAGATTAAAGTAAAAATATCTTCAACAAAAAAAAAGTCCATCATCTGTCATCACCTTTCAAATTTAAAAATATAATTAGACATTATAGATGTCTCTGCAATCTGGTCTCTTGTCTTCCTTGTATTATTCTTCATATCCACTAGATGGCGATCGGTAGGATTAAAGCACTGATATTCAGGATCTAGTAATCTTGAAAAGTCGTAATCTGGATCAGGGTGATCCTATCCTGAATTGCTTTGAACTACAGGGACAGAATCTGGCCGACTTGTCTGATCCTGGATCACAAAAAATGAGATTTCAAAATCTGATCGGATCTGATTGAGATTAAAAGTGTTGAACTCCTGGCCCTGGAGATCAACGAAGCTAAATGTGTTGCAGCTCGATAGTCAAAAATACTACACGGGCACTTTGGAAAGCAAAGACCTGCCAAAACCAATCAACTCCAACATGTTATGGGTTCTTTCTTGGCCCCCGGTACACCTTTCCACGAAATGTCAAGAAAATCGGGCCAGTTGTCTGTAATCATGCTGACAAACAACCAAACAAACCAAAAACATAACCTCTATGCGGAGGTAATAAACAGTAAACACATGGGCTTCTTCAGCTGCGGTTATAAACATTTAAATAGTGGCTATTAGATGTTGAGGGCCTTCCTCATGGGCAGCTCAGCGGTTTTTAACAGGAGAAAGATTGTGTTTATTTTCCCTGTTTTGAATTTCTGTTTTATTGCTCCAGTGAGTGAAGTCATTAAGAGAAATGACCTGTCACATCAGGAGATGCAGCTGTTAAACGTCAAAAGTACATTTTTATGTTCTCACTGTCGTGCATTTTGTAATATATTGCCTTTATTTCCTTGAAACATGAGTATTTTACTGCTTCTGGGCTAATGATGTACCCAGAGGCTAACTTAAATGTTCAGTTCATCCAATCCCCCCCCCCCCCCCCCCCTGCTCTCTGGCGACGGTTTGATTTATCTGCTGCAGCGACTTCTGCTGCCAACCCGATACAATGCAGCTGAGCGGGATTGTGTTTGAGTTTGGCAGTTTTCATCCGGAGTTATTTTCTAGGGCAGATAAAAATAGCAAAAAAAACTGACCACAGTGTTCTGCGCCTCTTTGCTTTTTTGGATGTTCGCCGTTAAACTCTTTATTCATTTGACGATTCCTCTACTCAAGCAATTTTAAAACTGCTCAACTCTTCCAAGTGTCAAACCTCAAGTATATGGACGCCATCAAATCCCCGATGTGACTTTCCCTCGCCTTAGAGCTCAGGCTCAGAAACAGCTCGTGCATTCTTGAATAAACCCAAGACATTATCACCAGAGATGGAGTTATGGCTTTGTGGTCTCCCTGATTGGGTAGTTGGAGGCCGCAGAACTTATGTGTACTGTAAACTGAGACATATTTTGTCCAGTATAAAAGTAGAAGTGAGACTAAAAATCTGCAGCTGAAGGCCTCAGGCAGCCGTTTCTGGTCAATATGGCCTCAAATTATTGTTCATTGAAGAATTGCCCGTAAACTGACTTTTATTGGCACAACAGCAACAACAAAGGAAGTCTATCTAATAAAAGAGATTTGATAAGGGTCAGAATAACATTTTTCGTGGTTTTATAACTGATATAAAATCTTCAAATATAATCCACATGCTCTCGTATTTCTGCGAAACCTTGTTTTAAAATAGGCTTTGGGTCATGGCAGAGCAATTGAGATGTGTTGTTCTCTCTGAACACACATTCAAACCTATAAATATGCCTGGGCTCAAGGTTTATTATGGACCTTGGGAAAACAGTTTGAGTTTTATAGCTTGATATCTAAATCTTTGAGCCACAATCTATGGAACTTGTGCTGAACATTTCAGTTTAATTGAAAAAGGACGTTTGATGTTGGTACTGAAATGTGCTGAATGTGTGCAGTGCCTTAAAAAGCCTTGAACGTTTGCAAGTGGTGGAGTAATCATCGATTCACTTTTGTTTGGTTTGCGATGTTTTTGCAAACGTGTAAGTTAATAGAAAGGGTTACCAAATCCCATATTTTATATATATGTCTAGTGTTTCCATGTGCAAGTTAAAATGTGCTTTCCATATAGCACAGGTGCAGATCAGTTTTTATCCTTTCCGAACAAAAACAACCCAAACAAGTTGTCGTAGTGTAAGAAATAAAAAGTGGATATATTGTAGTGTAGTTTAAAGTATATGTCTGCCAACCTCGAATAAGCCTTGCACATCCTAATATCTTTCGAAAATGGTGATGGAAGTACTTAATAAATCTGTCACCTGGATTTCTTGACTTGAGGAGATGTTAAGGTGTCAAACCAACCCATTTAAAGCTCTTGGAGTTCAACAAACCAAGCTAAGTTTTAATAAACATTTGAGTCCTTTCCATTTGATGTTCAGGTAAGAGTTTAGTGTCTGTTTGTATGTGTTTTGGGACATATACAGTAATGTACTCGCATTAAAGCAGCATCCCTCAGCCTCCATCTGCTCACAGTTTACAGCGGGAGCTTCACAGTCTGTCCATTGAGTCTCTTTATAGACACTGAGGATGTCATGGAGTCCCTCGCTGCCCGCAGTGCACGACCTGCCAAAGCCAATACCAGACAAGCACTTGTTTTTCCCCCAAATGACTTAGCGAGACGTTAAACACGTGAAAGTAAATTATCTGTGCTCCTCTGACCTCATAGCCAGGCGCGTGTTTACTCTGGCCGAGACGAGCCATTTCGACTTATTTTAATTATTTTATACTGGGGGGATTCAGAGGCTTGTCCATCAGCGAGTGTTTGTGATGTGCAGTGTTTGTGTGTTTTGCGGTCGGGGGAGAGCAGGATTGGCTTTTTCGGAGCAGCGTTTCCATCAAATACTCACTGGGATGGCTCTCACACAGAAACACTATTATACAATTTGAGGGAAAGAGACGTAATGAAGTTTATTTTGCAGAAGCTCCGACTGACATCGGATCCAAAGAGCTGGTTTAGCTGAAATGTTTTGACATGCCCGCACATTTTTGTATTTTCCCCGTATATGCAATAAATGTACTCAAATGTCTCAAAGTACTTGATTGGTAGCCCTTCGATCACATTAAACCTCCAGCTGTGTTACATACATTCAACATGATCTTCTGTTATCCAGTCAACCTATGTCACAGCAGCTCTCCTCTGCCAGAACTGAAAACCGAGCAGAGCACAAGCTGGCACCTTCTCTAGTAAAACCACTCATCCCCGTCTCTGATCTAGTCCAAGTTTGCTGCTATTAAAAAAGCAAATAAACATAGAGCTTAAATTCTACAAGCAGGATTCTTCTCATTCCAGATTTCAGAGAGCTGCTGGCTTTAGTTAGATAGAGAGAAAAGAAAATGATGAAGGGGTTTTTCGCCGGTAAAATATGATCAGAGAAACTTTTTTGTGCTGACAGACTCTCCCTCCGGCTCTGTTAAGCTCGTGCATCAGGTTTTGGGTACAGCGGCCACAAAACGACAGATCCACGCAGCACGGATCAGACATCCCAGCTATGTTGTTGCAACTTCGCAAGAATGTGAGCCGCAGAACAGCCGCGGTTGTTTATAGTTAAGGTCAGCTCTGATGGTGCGGGGCCGCGAGGGGGAATCCAGAGACGTGTTGGATTCTTGGGGCTCGCAGTCATCGCGGCACGTTCATTTCAACAGTCGCACTATATCAAAGCCCAGTTTGTTTACATAATCCTACACAAAGCCTGCTCTTTATTACCTCAGGAAGCCGAGCAGCCATCTGTAAGTTATATCAGTTTGGGTTTCAAAAAGTCCTCCTGATTAATCTTTGCTTTTATAGTCATTCTCCCCGGGGACTGTTAAATTAAATGTAATGGCATTTGACATGGGAAATGGGTAATAACGGGACCTGGGGATGATAAATGAAAGATACGTAAAGAAATCTCAAACATTTCCTTTTTAAAGAAACTGGTCAGATGCGTAAATAGAAGTCGCTTCGGCCGGCAGCCATTAGTCTCTCTGACGAGGTCTGGCTTGTTTATGAAGACCACTAAAAATCCTCAAGCAGAATCCAAGGCCATGTATCTCTCCAGGGACGAATATACTGCAGCGCATCATCCAGGAGAGTTCTCAGGCCGCATGAACTGCTGAGACTTTGAAGAAGCAGGAGGGGGGGTTAAATACCATTTTGGGGGTTTTCAGCTCCATATCTCCTCTGAGAGATATTCGTCTTTCCTTTCTTCTCGTCCACTTGGCTCCACTGACTCATTGGTTTCCATGTTGAGTCAGAGTGTTTGTGCACAGTCAGCACATTCCTGCAGCGTAACGATGGATACAGAGCCCGCCCACTTTACCCCCCCTGGAAACGCTTTCCTGTATAAACTGCACTGTTTGTTCAGTTTTAAGTATTTACACGTTTGTGTCTGATTACACAGCTGCTGCCACACTGCTGGATAACCGTTATCAGCATCAAAGACTGCAGAACACTACAGAGAGTTCAACTTTATCGAAACCTACTTTTAAAAAACTATACATAGATTGAAATGAAGTCAAACCTGTTGCATAGCTTCAAATTAGCCTTATTCTAAGATAAATGATTTACCATTACTTTAAATGAATGGTCAACATTCAAAGAAAATAAAGTGGGTGAAAAATGAATTTGAATAAACAGAAATTTGAGGGGTTTTTTATGATTTAAGAAATTAATAAAGAAATACAGTATTTGAGTTTAAATGGCTTAATATTTCCAGGATGTGCACAAGGCCTCTGGAGGATTCTTTGTTGGGTGATTGCATGAAAGCAAATAGCCCATAATTAGTGGTTTAAGACCAATCTAAATCACTGTCATCCCAACTTGTATCTCTAGATTAAGATCCGTTAACCATAAAAAAGTGACTGAAGTAAAGCCCTCTGCCCCGTCATGTGACATAAGCTTGTTATGAGTCTTCTTAAGATGTAGAAATGATTTAAGGCAAATGCTGAAACAAATGCACTGTGAATGATTATCGCCACATGTGCAACCGTCCCTCGAAATGTGTTTGCAAGTCCCTGCACTCTCATAAATGTTGATATGAAAGAACTGAGTATAATAGTTACCCGTTGTTGTGTTTCCAACAGGAACAGACCGACATCACTGTTCATGCCGGCTGACGTCAGCCCGGTGAGCTCCTCCTCAGACAGAGGAGACGTCCAGCAGCAGGAGTACCACAAGATCTACAGCCACCAGCAGCAGGCGTTCTCACAGCAGCAAGGTACTGAGGAGGGGAGGAGTCAGTATCAGGGTGTCAGCACCAGGGTGTCAGCGCCAGGGTGTCAGCACCAGGGTGTCTGCATCAGGGTGTCAGCGCCAGGGTGTCAGCATCAGGGTGTCAGCACCAGGGTGTCAGCATCAGGGTGTCTGAGCGTTTGAGGTGTTGACGGTTCTTCTTGAAGTGACTGTTATTTTGTAGATATTGATTGTTGTGCTTTTATCTTAATGTGTGCATATGTATAAATGTGTCTGTTGATTGTGTATATATATATATAGGATATACATATTTCTATATATATATTTGTATTTGGGCTTGTGGGAAACGGTATTTCGATCTCTCTGTCTGTACACACAAACTGAAAGATTGACAAGAAAGTTGACTTTGACTTCTATGTTTCCTGAAGGATGTCTGTACGGAGAAGGAAAGGCGCTTCCACCAGGCAGCGACGGAGGCTTCGAACCCACCGGTTACTACTCAAACCCCCCCACCTCTCACTCTACAGGTAAGACCGCAGAGCAATGGTCCATATCCTCCAATCAGAGTGCTTCTTACGGCCCGTCCACACTACAGCTTCAAAAAAAGCTTGGAGCTGGGCGTGTCTGAAGCTCGACCAACAACCAATCACATGAATCTCCCGCCCCTGACACACAAGCAGCGGTTTGATTGGCTAGAGCTTGTACTGGCATATGATTTGATTGGCTGACGCTTCCACCGAAAGCTTCAGAAGCTTCAAAAGTTGAACATTGCTCAACTTTTGCAGCCTGAAACGCCAGGAAAGCTCCGCTCTGCTTCCCACAATGCAGTTCGGCGAAAAGTGATGTCACCCAGACGCGTTGGAAACCGTTTTTGAAGCTGTAGTGTGGACGGGCCGTTAGAGGATCTGAAACCCTCTCTTCCCGCCACACCTCTTGCCGTTATGGGCCAGATGTGTGGAGGTGAGAAAGCTAGTGGGGTTGAGTGAAATAACTATTTATTCCAAAGAAAATAGCCTCAAAATATCCCGAAAATGTTTTCACACTAAGCTGAAAAAAAGCTTGTGATATTGTAAAAGAAAATGCAAAAAGGATTGCAATGAATACATTAAAGAAATATAAATACAATATTTTCATCATGTTCATTCACATAAGCATATTGGATGAAAACATAATAATATATTTATTTTATCCAGCGCTTTTACTGGTGCTCAAAGACACTTTACCGGGATACAAAATAAAAGTTAACATTCATCAAGACAATCTTTTTCTGGAAACTTGACTTCTGACTGTCGTTTTAATGCTTGACTAAAGTATTTCTGTCACTTTAATTTGGGCAACATATGACTGCCTTAAAGTCAAAGTATATAACAATATCGAGCTCCCCTCTATGACGACTGTACATTGTATTGACTTCCTGCTTCGGATGTCATAGAATGAACAATAAACAAATGATTGTCCGTCTCTACAACCACTGCCTGCCCACTCTGCTTCATGTGAAAGAAAAGGAGCTGTGTACAGATTTACATTTCCGTCCCTCAGGGTTCGACCTGTTGCAGGAGCTGCAGGGCGGGGGCGGGTACTCTGACGACAGCTTCCTGTTCCAGGCAGGAGGCGTCGACCGCTGCCTCAACCAGATCTACTCCATCTACCTGGACTCATGATGGCCAGAACCAAAAGAACTGAAGCCCAAATCTCTGTGTCTTTGTGAAGACTAAAGGCAGCACGTAAGGTGTGTGTCAGCAGACAACGTGTATTCTAGGCTGAAGGAGGCAGAAAATGTGTCAGTGGGAGTTTTAATGGCACAAACTAAATGCTAAATATAACTAAAGTCAGAGTGTCTTTAATAGCGGTGACTTTTTTGTTCAGAGATGACCGCAGCGTTTGTGATCTGAATGAGCTATGAGCTTTTATTGGTTAGTTTGATCTGATGGAACAGGTAGCTGATTCTCTGGCTCCAGTAAGGTTCATTCTGTCTCAATGAAATGTTAAATACTGTCATGTTTCAGCACGCACTCTTTTAATGTAGTGGTTTACAACCTAAGGCCAATATATACGTTTCTTGAAATGAAGATACCAAAGAACAAAACAACACTCTTCTGCTCTACAAGTTACGCTTCAGTTGTGTCTGCTCCCTTATTCAAATGAAAGCAATCTGAGAAGTTAAGAAGAGTTATATTTTAATATTAACTGCACACAACTCGGATCATTCGAGGTGTGAAAGTTGCAAGTTGCTTCACCTTAAGGAACCACAAGGAAGAAACCGTTAAAGCAGATCATGAGTTGCATTAACGCAACTTGAGCAGTTTGAGATATGCTTATTTGTTTTCTTGCAGAGTTAGAAGAGAGGGTTGATAACAACATGTCAGTACGATAAAACATGTGGCTACCGTGAGACAAGAAGTACTGTAGGATTATAAAATCGATTCTAAAATAAATTGGTAACCAGTGCAAAGAGGCTAAACTATGGTGACGGAGGAGTTTGTTTTTGCTATAATAGAATACTATTTTGCTGTAATGTCAAAATACTTATTTAAGATTGTAGCATGTGTCCAAAGGGTTGTTGAGAAGCTGCTTCTCTAGTTTCATTTTGCTGCAGAAGAGGATAAACTGTAGCAGTGCTGCCACCAAGTGTCTGTATATGAATATTATATAAATACAGTCTGTGTGTTCGACTCCTGGGACTTAAAACTGACACACGAAGCAACAAAAACTGCACTACAATATTCCATCTGTGATTTTCTGCCATGGACTGAGAGGTGCCAACTCAATAAGTGTCAATATAACCTAACAACGATCAACAGCGTAGCATAATCTCCTTTTATATTGTCTTTTTGTTTCTTCACGTGTATCAGTGTTTTATTCAGTGAGAGGGAGGTGTGCATTGTTTACAATAAGTTCTCTGCACTCTGTCTCGTCACAGAGTCAAAAAAACGACCAACCAGAAAAAATGTTTACACTAATTTTGTAGCAAAAGATTTTCACATTATTGTCATTGACCAGTGTATATAGACTTTATAAAAACTGCTCCTGTCTTTTATATCAAATAAATCTGTTTGTATACGTTTGTGTTCGTTAGTATTAGTGCTTTAACCCAATGGTTTTTTCATTAATGATGATTATTATATAATGTTTAAAAACTGTGACAAATACCTGAGATTACATCTTGAAATGTAAAAGCAGAATATTAAAACATTTTGTATTTACTTTCAAGGAAATTAAGCGAATCCTGACCCTTGAGAAGCTGGAACAGTTTGGGGCATTTTAGGGTGAAATGTAACATCAATAGATTATCAAAATAACTATCTTTCAATTATTTTCTAAATAATTAATGTTATATCAGCCTTTGTTGTTGAAAAGTGTGTAAATGTATGTTAACAGATTTTGTTGAGCTTGTTGAGTGCTGGTACATACTGCCATCTATTGGTCATACATAGCTGAAGGCCTTAGAACATTTCTAGTTTTCCTAAAAGATAAGCTCATTTCCCTTTCTGAAGAAATAAAAAAGTGAATGGTTCACAGTAGGGCTATTTTTAACTTTTGTTCACTTTGAATCAAAAAGCCACTTAAGCAAGGCAAGTTTATTATATAGCACCTTTCAACACAAGGCAATTCAAGGTGCTTTACAAAAGTGAAAGACATTCAGACAAAGGCATTTAAAAACAGTAAAAGATAATAAAAGAAACATTAAAAGAAAAAATACATGAATAAAAAGTTACAGTGCAGTTTAAGATATGAATAGTTCACACAGAAGTTCCACTTTACTGATGAACACAACGGCTCAGTTTCAATTATAAGCAGCGACAAAAAGAAAAGTCTTCAGCCTGGATTTAAAAGTAGTCAGAGTTGCAGCAGACCTGCAGGTTTCTGGGAGTTTGTTCCAGATATTTGGAGCATAATAACTGAACGCTGCTTCTCCATGTTTAGTTCTGACTCTGGGGACAGAAAGCTGACGCTGAAGTAAATAAGGAAGATTTAGAAAAGTGTTATAATGAAGGATGGGAAATGTTTTGTAAGCAAATAAAAGGGAAAAGGGTATTTCTTAGCAATTACAATAGACAACTGATGAAGCAATGTGTGAACAAATAATTTAAGTACACAACAAAGTCATTTTGGAACAAATGCGAAAATAGGATGTCAAATGTCTATTAAAATAGCATCAAATTCCCCAAGTTAAATTCTAAATGAATGAGAAATATAAAAACAAAACAATCTAGAGTAACGTGTGTATGTCAACAAAGCACTTTAATTACCTTTCTGGAAGGAAACCTGAAAATGAACAAAGTAGGCCTACGTTTGAGAAACCGGCTCGAGATACACTTTGTTATATTCCATGGAATGCTCTTCACATCCCGATAGGAATGAATATCTTAAATGCTTTGACAAAAAATCCATTAAAAAATGCATCAGTGGAAGCCGTAGAACTGTAAAAAGCACGACCAATCATCTGAGCCGGCCCGGCTAAAGTAACTGGATGGCCTACCTGCCTGTCAGCCTTCCATCTGTGCACAAACTTATCTCGTGCCCTCATTGGTCATGTGCGCGTTCGTGTGTGTTGGAGGAGGGGCTCTGTAAGGAAGTGGCAGATTTGTTCCGGTTGTGTATTTTCAAATTCTAGCGCACTTTCTCCAAAATTACCTACCCCACCTTTAAGTGATTAGACTTATTAAATAAAAACCAACTGATCAACTCAATTAAACTTGTAGCCAAAGTCATTGAAACTCTTTTTCAAGCACGAAACTATAGTGGAAATACCAGTTTGAAAGGTTTAAATGCTTGTATCATTATGCAATAAGATTAACATGAACTTTTACTTTCAACAGTTTGATGATAAACGTAGTACAACCACCAGGGGGCGCTCTGCGGTCACTGAAACACGTACAGATTAAATCAGCCAGTTTCAGTCGAAGATAAACGCACTTTAACCGAACACTGTGTGTGAATAAACATGATTACCACACACACACACACAAACACTCACACAAGCTATCTGGAAGCTGTATGTCCACATTCCGCTCGGAGGGAGACACACCCTCTGACCCCGACCGAGGAGGGGAGCTGCTGCCGGGATGCAGAGAGGAGGAACTCACCGCTGCTGTGGAGACTGAAACCTGAAGAAGAGTCTCATCTCTCTCCAGCTTCAGACGGAGAAACACCTGCAGCGGACATGACCGTCACAGGTAAGAAGACACGTGTTTATATCTCCAACAGGTGTGTGCATGTGTGTTAACGTGTTGTGTTTGATTCACAGGGTGTTGTTGTTGTTATGGCGGGATATAGTGATATTATGGTGTGTTTTGTGCAGATACGGAGGTCATGAGTCCATGGTCCTCCACAATTCAACCCCACCCCCTTAAAAATGTTTGACTAAACACAAGAAAGTACATTAAATTAACTCATTCATTCTGTTTTTTTGCATTTAATTGATGTAGAACTGTTTGATAATGTTCTGTTCAGTGTTTTGTTGTTTTTCTACCTACACGAATTCTGAAACTTGACTACTTTTGTATTTACGTTACCTTGAATTTGTGCATTTTAATGATATTAAGTATACGAACTAAGACAATTAGGCCTACAAACTTAAGTGTTTGGAAGCTGAAATGTCCGTCTCTGGTTTGTGGTGCTGCAGCCCTGGTTTTTAACATATTTGATGGTGAAAGCTGCATAAAAGGAGACCGTTATATGTCAGAGGAAGCTGTGCCTCAGAGAGGATGTAGCTGCTCACATTGTTAGAGCGTGACACCATGTTCTCCAGATTTAAACCTCACTCCTCTTCACACCCTGAGAGGAGAACTTCATCTCTCTGTTTGGATTACGAGGTGTCAACCCCACAGCTCCAAGGCTCAGTTTAACAAGTGTCTCATTAAGTTTTTGTTTTTCATTTGTAATGCACAAAACAACATGGCTTTGAGATGTGGTCGCAATATTTGACTGGAATAAGGTGCATACAAAAAAAAGACAGATAAAAAACAAAAGTCAAGATTACCAGTGAAAGTCTTACAACTCTTAATGAATCCTTAAACAAGACTTTACAATATCTAATAATAATTCATACTAAAGGCAAAGGAGTCTAGGGATTTCATGTCCAAAACTATTTTGTTGCATTCTTGTTTTTCATTCACTTCAAAGCTTTTACAAATGAAAGAAACTCAATAGGAAATTTAGGATTCACTTTCATATATTTGGATTAAAATGTACCAAAAAAAGATTAACCAAAAAGTCTTCTTTCAAATCGTCAAAAAAGAGTCCATGAGTAATGTCCCTTTGAGATCAAGTGTTGCAGTTGAAAAACCTTCAGGTAAAGTGTCTTTGAGTAGTTATTAATTAATGTGTTATGATTAAAATCCATTAATTGTGTTACGGTGCAGGAAGCAGGACCCAAATGCAGATTAAAGTGTCAAAAATATCTCCTTTATTTCAAGGCTATACTAGAAACAAAGACCGAACAGAAGACCAAGTCAAAACACAAGACGAACCGACAAAGACAGACAGAAAAACCAGAACTTAAATACACACAACAAGACTAATTATACAAACAAGACACAGGTGAGGAGGGAGGAGAAGACACAGGTGAGGAGGGAGGAGAAAACACAGGTGAGGAGGGAGGAGAAAACACAGGTGCACACAATCGGGTAATAAGACACACCAGGGAAACTAACGACAGGGAACCACAGACAGATCTAAAGACAAAACACAACGCAGACAGAAACAGGCAAGACAGGAAGTGAAGACCTTTCAAAATAAAACATAAACAAAAGACAGAAAAAGACAACACAGACAGATCTTGACTAATTGAGCCATAGAGTTTCTGCAAACAAACACTACATTGTGAAAGAGGTGACTGTTACCCAAAGATAAACTCATCTGCAGATATTCACACTGCTGTCTTGAAACTGAGTGACTGCAGATCTCTGTTCTGTCAGATAGCGAAACGTGTGAATCGACTCACCTTTAGACTCTTCTGTTATCGGCTGAGCAGCCACACTTATCTCAATTAGCGAATGCTTGGAATTAGAAACAGTCAAACTACGACCAAAGCATCCAAATCTAAGCTAATTGTTACCCTCATGCAACTATTTCCTTTCCCTCAAATGTTGAATATAACGTCTCTTGATAGCTATCAGTCAGGACAGACGCTTTGTACAGAGCATGCAAATAACGAGGATATGAAATGTGTATTAATAACAGGAGGCTCAGTTCACACGGTAACATTTTAAATGAAAGGTTGAGATTAAAAGCAAACACAAGCTTATCTGAAAAGGTCGATTTGATCACACACAACTATATTGCATCAAGTGATTGTTGAAGGTGCACTGCAGAACAAAAGCAGCCTTTCTATCTCTATTTTCTGGGGGATTTAAAAATAAATTCCTGCTTTAAATTGAACCGAATGAACCGAACAGCATCACGGAGCAATAAGTGTCACATATCTTTGAAATAAAATGCTGCTTTAATGCATACATGTATATAAACATGGAGGCTTCCTGTATGTGAAACAAGTCTCTGCTGTTGCTCTCAGCTTTACAGAGTTGTTTATCTTGTTGTTTATCTTGTTGTTTTACGTCCCACAACTTTAACAGTTTGGTTTAGCTGTTGAAAACGTTTACTCAACCTGTCGAGCATAAAACCGCTGATAGAAAAAGTTATCGACTAGCTGGTAAATATAGTGGAGCATTAAGCCGCTAAACACAGATGGAAAGGACACAATATTTGACTCAATTCATCACTTGGAAAAACACTCAACTTAAATTGAAGTTATCGTTGATCTCAGTGCTATTCCAACCATAAATGCATGTCTTCGATTTAAAAGGTGATAACATATCAATGTTATATCAACACCTTGTTTCTGCTGCCCCCCATGTGGTCACTTGTTGCTGCGTTTAAGTTATTTTGAATAAAATAATGTAGCTTTAGACTAAATTCCCGTTAACCTGTCGAGCCTGTTTTTCAGTAAGTAATGAGGGTATTTTTACGTGAGTTCTGTGCTAAGTGTGTTAGCATTTTTTCGCTCAGGGCTAATTCAGAGCCTTTGTTATTACCCTTATGTTTCGTTTTGGTTCATATCGTCTGAAAGCTGAGTTTCTTCCCGTTAAGTGGGTACGACACATTCATAGGTTTTTAAATGTAACGGCCCGTCCACACTAGAGCTTCAAAAAAATCTTGGAGCTGGGCGTGTCTGAAGCTCGACCAACAACCAATCACATGAATCTCCCGCCCCTGACACACAAGCAGCGGTTTGATTGGCTAGAGCTTGTACTGGCATATGATTTGATTGGCTGACGCTTCCACCGAAAGCTTCAGAAGCTTCAAAAGTTGAACATTGCTCAACTTTTGCAGCCTGAAACGCCAGGAAAGCTCCGCTCTGCTTCCCACAATGCAGTTCGGCAAAAAGTGACGTCACCCCATTCAAAGTGAATTGTCAGACGCGTCGGAAACCGTTTTTGAAGCTGTAGTGTGGACGGGCCGTTAAGAAGCCCTCAGACGCTGTTTCTTGCAGCCCCCGGGGAAATGGGGCTTAACAGGAAGACATCATAATATTTGTCATATGATTTGTCACTAAAGTCTAAAGGTGTTTTCCCTCTTTTAGAGCTCAGTGAAGTTAATGAGGGGCAGAAAGATGAAGTTGATGACTATATTGTAATATAATGGAGACTTTCACTGGACGTGTATCTGCTCTTTGTTCAGCTGTGGTAGCTGTCATTTCTCACATCAATCACCTTGTGTTCTTTTATTTAATCCAAACAACCGGCTCTCCGTCCGTCTGCTGCCGGAAATATAAACGGTTTCACCTGCTGCGAACCACGGAGAAAGAAACGACCTGGTTGAATATTACTCAGTGTTGACAGAAGTGGAAGAAAACTCAAGGCATGAATGAAAATATCAATAACACCTATATTCTACATGTGAAAGTCCTTTTAAACTAAATCAGCATTAGACTCAAAACAAACATCATTATTTTCATGATTTATATTATTGATTATAAAAGTGGTCTTTCATTAAATCACGTTTATGTTGCAGCTTGTAAATGTGGAGCTGATTTTAACACATTTATGCACTTTGAGTTTGCTCATTTTTTATTAAAATGAGTTGTCATAGTTCTCACTTTCCACTGCTAGGTTTTGGCTGATTATCTCCATGTTAGATTAATATTAAGTACAGTTACACAAAAGAATGAAAATAACTCTTGATAACGTAAACAGCCCTCCTCGTACCTGCAGTATCTCATCCTCGCACTCTCTGCTCTGTGTTGGATATATTACATCATCTCTGCCAGAAACAAAGAGTCAGTTTATTCCCTGTGACGCACACTTCCTGCGTTTGTTAGACTCTCTGCTGCTCTGCTGAAGTCCAGGCTGAAAATACATGTGTAGTCTTGGATAAAGATATTTACGATGAATGCCTAGTGAATGAGACGAAAGCTTTCATTCGGCACATTCATCAGATCAAATGTTTAATATGTCTAAGACTTTGCTTTGTGTCCAAACATTCCCATCAGCCCTAGCTGCACTTGTTTAGCTCATGTTAGCATGCTAAAATCCAGCGTCATCATTATTGGGCTTGTTAGCATGCTGAGATTATCATTAACTGTGACAAAGTACAGTCCAAGTGAACGTCTTTGCAAATAGTGTTTTATCATCAGCAGGTGAATTGATTCTTTGGTTAATGGATGATCCCAGCGGACACATTGGTCCCGTTTAAACTATCCTCTGGTGCTGTTTGGGGTGTTAGCACATTCCTGCCTCCGGACTGTGGAGCAGATTTCCATTGTGGTGTGTGAGGAAGTCTGATGACCAAACACACTCCCTCTCTTCCTGCTTCACATGTAAAGTCAGAAAACACTGGCCTTGTTTATGTCGACCACACATGCTTTTATGTTCAGGCAGCGTCACTGGACACATAGGAGATTTAGGAAGTGCCCAGCAATTACTTTTTTAATCTCTTCAATTATAGGGCTTCCCAAATGTCGTCATCTGCCAAGTAGACACACGGTATCAAACATGACACTGAAATAGCCATGCAGGGGTAATTTCTACATGAATTACAGTGAGTTTAGGGAATTTCACATTATTTTAAAGTAAATGATGCCGTTTTCTACTGTAATGTGTTTTGATGTCTTGCATTTCGGTTCGATAACCTTAAAGGGATAGTTTGTATGTTTTGAAGCTGGGATGTATGAGGTACTTAGTTATAGTCTGTGTATTACATACAGTTGACGGCGGTTGGCACATGCCCAGTTTAGAGAGGCAGACAGTAATATGGACATGGAAGCAGAGCAATGTACTGCTGTAAAAGCATCAAAACATGTAAAGCTCACCTAAAACACATAAAGCTGTAACTATGGTTTCTTCAGAGCCACCAAACTCCATTGACAAACACAGTAATTTTACCTCTCAGAACAAGAGAGCTGCTGGTTTACCCCTGTGTCGATCGGTAAGTGTGTTTGTGTTATTTTGTGACTGGTTAGTTAGGATTGCCCAGAGTAACTCCAAAACACAAACAAACGATGTCTTCGAGGCAGCGGTAGACCAGCAACTACCGTACTCTGCAAGTCAAATTAGTGTTTTTGTCAATGGAGACTTTAAAGATAGATGGTTTATAAAAGCTTCCATTCCCTGTTGGTTTTTTCACCATGTAATCAACATGTACAGTAATCGTAGAACAAAAGAAAAGACTTAGACAGTCAAAAGTAAAAGATAAAGGATGAATCTTTAATTAACAGTGACTTCTGAATTACTGAAAACACAAGCAATTTGTTTTAAGATAAGATGGATAAACATTCTTCACAAGCCAATTAATGACAAGTTAGTTTCATTGACGGGTAATTTCCTTTATTTAGAAGGAGCCGAAAATATAAAATAAATCCATGAATTCAAAATATATATATTTTATCCTCTTAACATCAGATTTAAGGGTGCTTCCACTATAAGTAAACACAATAACCTGCTGGCTGAATCTCTTCAGGCTCCATCTTTGCCTTCAGGTAACGTTTGTACAACCTCCATCTGCCGATTAAGAGCACAGCCTTCACGTGAAACTCACAGCAGCATCTGTTTCCTCTCCGACAGCCAAACACTGGACTCCTGATCCCCAGTGACCCGCATCACCATGCCAACCCCCCCAATCCTCACGGCAACAAGGAGTCCTCGGAGAAATCGCTAGGTTTACAACCGTGAGCCTTCATAAAGCTGATCCAGTCAGAGAAGGAGACAGCAGGCAGGTAGGTAAGAAGAGAGAAAGAAAGAAGGATTCTTAAGTGATTCTGGTGAAGTTACAGTCTGTGTTTTCTGTTTCAGAGATGCCTTCCCAGCGTGGCGCCCTGCTGATCTTCTTGTTCCTGTTGAAGATGGGACCTGTGGGAGCATGTGTGTGTCCAGAAGCCACTGTTTTATCCCAGTTTCCCTTTGAGATACCTGCTGACGCCTGTTGCTTGAACTACTCCGGCTCCACTTTCAGCCATGTGCACTGGTCTGTGTTTACCAACGAGACAAACATAAAGACTCTGGATCTCTCCTTCTGTAATATCAGCTCGGTTAATATGACCGGTAAAGACGTGTCTACCTTACAGAGGGTTCTCTTGGGTCATAACAGACTCACAGTGTTGCCGAGGGGGTTTCTAAGCGGGCAGCCGAGGCTAACGGAGGTGGATTTGAGCGGGAATCTGATTCAGGAGCTGCCTGAGGGTTTCCTCCAGGAATCAGACGTCCTCCAGAAGCTGAATCTTCAGGGGAACCAGCTTCGCCTCCTCCCAGACTCTGTGCTTGTGAGGCCCCGTCTGCAAACACTGGATCTGGATGGGAACCCGTGGGATTGCTCTTGTTTGTTACTGGAAGGCATGGAGGACGCTGGGAAGTTGAACAGGACCGTTAAGATGCAGGATCTGGTGAGGAACCTGACCTGCGTGACTCCTCGGCACCTGGCCGGCAGGACGGTGTTCTCGGTGAGAATCAGTGACGTGTGCCGCCCAGCTGGTCTCACCGCGCTCTTCATCGTGCTGCCGCTCCTCATCCTCTCTGCCCTGGTGCTCTGCTGGTGCTGCGGGAGGAAGAGGAAGAAGAAGGAAGCATCATTAAGCACCTCGAAAAGGAGAGCTACCAACTCCAGTATCGGCCAGAAGCATCGCAGCAAGCAGAAACCTACGCCTGGCGATCAGAATAAAGCAGAACACAAAGAGGGGATCCTGAAGAACCAGTTGCTGCTCCGCCCAGCCTCCACCCTGCTGGGCAGCACCAGAGACATCTACGAAGAGGTGGAGATTAAGCTGGGTTCGGTGGAGTCTCTTCCTCGTGTGACCTCCATCTGCTCCTCAGAGGGGAAGCAGGTTCCTCCGGGCTCTGAAGGGACCGAGAAGACCGAGCTGGACACGGTGAGCGTGACGGAGGTGATGAAGGACTCGACTGACAGAGAGAAGGCGTACCTCACTCAGAGCACCGAGTACTACAGCCTGGTGCCCGGGATCGAGCTCGAGGACTCGGACTACGGAGAGTATGAGAACGTCAGCCTCTCGTGACAACAGGTCAAAATAATTGCTCAAATGTAGTTTTTTTTTTTTACATGAGAAGATTTTAATCCTACATGTTTTTTTTAAAGTTCTCTAAAATCTATTTGCTCAATCAGCTTCTCGGTTTGGAGTCAAACCAAAAACGTTGTTAAGATATGATAAGATAAGACTTTATTTATCCCGAAGGAAATTGTTGTGCCAGAAAAGTTCAGTTAATTCACACTCACAGATTTCTGCATTTGTTTTTATCCGTGCTCTTTTCACTGGTTTGAACATCGTTGAGTGTTAAACTGCAAAATATGGATATTTTCCTTTACTTAAACTTTGACTGGTTTATTTAGTGATAAACATTCATTTTAAAGAGAAACTTAAGTTTTGAAACCAAGTTTTTTAGGGGCTTTAATTATAGAGCCGTTAGCTTAGCATAAAGACTGGAAGCAGGGGGAAACAGATAGCCTGACTGGGTTGCGTTGTGTTTGTTTCTACATGTAGATTCAACTTATTAGATACAACCTAGAAATGAGTGAGCTTTGTTGAAACCAGAAAGTGGTAAAGTTTAAGTTTATCCACCCACTCTTTTTGAATTAGGCAAGGCAAGAAGCTTTTTGAAGATGTCACTATTTTGCAGAGCTAGTTTGAAAGCTACTGTAGCTGGTTAGCTAACAGCTAACAAGAAAACTACTAGCGCTAGTCAGTCACTAAAGTTGTGATATATGGCTGTGGGTTAAAAGATCTACCATTCAAACCTCTTTTGAATCGTCCATCTCCCTTTATTTGTTTTCAATTTTCTCTGCAAATACAGCCCTTACCAATATTTGAATATGTTAGTTTATATAAATAACATAGGAACATGGGAACAGAGGACATGCTAAGCTAGGCTAAGCTAATCCTGTCTCTGAGAACCTGCATCTTTCTTCTCATCTAACTCTAGGCAAGAAAGTATTTTCCATCAATGTGTGTGTGTGTGTGTGGGTGTGTGTGTGGTGTGTGGTGGTGTGTGTGTTGTGTGGTGTGTGTGTGGGTGTGTGTGTGTGTGTGTGTGTGTGTTGTGTGTGTGTGTGTGTGTGTGTGTGTGTGTGTGTGTGTGTGTGTGTGTGTGTGTGTGTGTGTGTGTGTGTGTGTGTGTGTGTGTGTTCTGAGAGAGAGTGGTCCGACCACTGTGCTATCACAATGTAAGAGGAAGTGATTTAATCCGGAGCTGTTCCTGTGGGACCTGAGGAACGCAGTGACGTTTGAAAGGGAGGCCCGCCTTTTTTCACTCTGGAAAAAAGACATTTATTGTATATATGATGTTGCACTCCACACAAATTAACGCTTCATATTGTTTGCACCTGTATTACAAAGAGCAGGACATATTTTAAATGCATTATTAATCGAAGTCAGGCAATCTTTTGTGTGCACTCTCCTTTACCTCTCCCAAGTGTAATTGTTTAAGGCTTTCCAGTTTGACTTGTACTGCATACAGGATGTTCCGGATCCTTCACTTTAAGCTGCACATCCAGAAATGAACAATGACTAATCCAATTGCAGTTAATTCATTGTGAAATGTGGAATGTAAAGCTTAGGTGAGGAGTCTACATTTATATATGCCCCTGGATAAAGGATGAAAGGCTTGCTCATGTTTCACGTCACGTACTAAATGTGCGTATATGTTGGAAACAATCAGCGCAGTCAGATCTAAATGCAGGGGAATGCTGGTTTTAAGATACAAATCTCTGTAAAGTAACCTGAGATGCAGAGCATTTCTGTGCAATGGTTCTACCATAAAATGACACTGGAGACACAAAAACAAAAAAATCAGGGTCATCCAAGTTGTGGGAAACGTCTCACAAGAACGCTAATTGGCTTGTGTTTAGTGAGACGGACACAGAAAGTGGGTGCAGCCTGAAGGGTGTGGAGCTTCCTGGAATTTAAAACACCGGGGGTATATTTTCCAGTGGGGTTATCAGGTTTTTTCCATTAAAGATGTATTTATAGACACTGAGGTTTACTGCCAGAGGCCCTTAGGTCAAAAGACAAGCAGACACAGGAGTGAATGTTGCTTTTTGTAATTTTGTACACAGAGAAATAACCTGATACAACAAATGTGAGTGTATTGTAGCTACTAGGCAAATGTAGTTTTACCATTCTCTTGGTAGCATTATTTATTTGGTTTATCTTATTGTTAACTGTCAGATATTCCCAAGAATTGGCTTGACAAATACAGGCTTGTTATTTTTTCTGAAACTATGTCACCATTTTTTGGCACATGTATCTCCCTAGGTAAATTGAAAGTAACGTTTGGCTACCAGTGTTCATGCTAGCGATGACATTACCGCATATAAACACGGTCTACTTTTGTTCTTGTGTTGTTTTGTTTTTTTAAAGGCTAAAAAAAAAGAAGCACACCAGCCTCCAAAGTCTTGGGATTACAAGTATTTTTCTTGTTAAAGTGTCAAATAAATCCCTAAATGTTCAGGCCTGCTGTGCTGTAATGTTGCTAAGCTAGACTAAGCTAACTTCCAGTCAATTAAAACATGTCTTTTAGGTTCAATAAATTAAAACGTGACTTCTTTTAGGCCTTCAAATGTTACATTAAGAATAAGTTATTAATCTGGATCGACAATTTTGCTGAGAGTAATAAGACCTATGACCTCAACATTTGTAAAGTGAATTTAGTCCTTATCCTCTGTTTGTTTAGTAACAGCTACTAGTAGCATTAGTGATCCTTGTCTGTTGAAACTAAATGGGTATACTGGTATGATGCACTGATTAATATGATATTGTTCATTCTGGCAGATGCACTATCTTCACAGTTTTTTTATATACAAAATGTTTATTGTTGCAATAAAATTAAATGTTTTTTTCCAGATGTGTTCCTCAGTGTATGATGATGATGACAAACAAACAGGAAAGAAAAACTAAATATTTTATTATTTTGCTTCCTTTTTTTGCTGCATGCTCCAGATCTTTTCATTTAACCTTTTTTTCTGTGGCCTTTCGTATCTTTCTGAACCGACAATGATCCGCCCCCAGATACCTGAGATCCCACTTTGAGCTCTAGTTTCACCTCGCTGTGGGAAGTTGTAATTACCGCGTTAGGAAACTCAATACGATCAGTCTGTCCTGCTCTCAAAAGCCTAAACCAAGGACCAGGAGATCCAGTGCAGGACCGGAAATATATGAGCAGGAAACGATGGAAAACAATTATCTATGGAGGCTTATGGGAGTTTATTTTGTCTACAAATCAAGATTCAAGTCTAACCATTGACTCTGGATCAGGGGTTTCAAACTCAAGGCCCGGGGCCAAATCCGGCCCGTGACTTCACTTCATGTGGCCCCACAAGAGCTCTGAAAGAATGTAATATGTTTATTATACGGTTACATGCCGATTTACAGAAGCACATTGCCCATAAACTACATGTCCCACAATGCATCTCAAATTTGACTTTTTCTTAGAATTTGACTTTTTTCCTTCAAAATGTCACTTCATTTTTTGGATTTTGACTTTTTCTCCAGAATGTGGCTTTTCTTTTTAAATCATTTTGTGACATTCTCACTGAAGAGACTTGCAATTATTTGCCCTAGACTTCTGCTTTCAGACGTAATTAATTATGAAGTTATTACCCTATCCGATAATAATCCAATGCAGAGGCAATAATGTAATTGTATAATACATTAATTTATATATATTAAATATTTATATATGTATTTTTATAAAGTCTTCAAGTTACAACCGGCCCGTTGAGTGCAACCATAATGCTGATGTGGCCCGTGATGAAATTGAGTTTGACCCCCCTGCTCTAGATTAACATGGGATAGAGACACACGTGAAAAAGTGGAAAGTAAGCGTAAAACAGTTTTTAAATTATATTTTTGTGTCGTACTTATACAGGTAGAAAATGTCCTCAGATATTTAACCTAAGTAAAAGTAACAATTCAACAGTGGACAAATGTTACAAGTAAAAAAGTTTTTTTGCATTTGTCGATTTCAGAGTAATATGTATGAGATCATGTGATATTCATTTTTGAAATACTTTATATACCAGTGGGCATCATTTCTGGATATCTCAGGAATAAGACAGCAGAGAGGAGCTTAACATTTTGGGTGTTTTTATGGTAAATATTTTTATTGATTTTCTCAGTTTTTTAACAAAAGCAAGTGATACAGATTCAGTAAAGATATATACACACAAGCTGACAAATCAAAATCTTCATTTCAATCCCACCCACCAACATGTTGGGTGTTTAATTGCAAGAAAAACAGTCAGCCAATACAGTCTATGTATATCTTGTTTGTTTGTAGCCTTTATTTAACCAGGTCAAGGGTGACCTGCAGGACATTAGTTACACATGTAACATAAAAACAACAGAACAACAATAAGGATGACAAACAACATAATGTACAGAGTCCAGTTTCCAAACTCTATTTACAGAGACAGGTACCATGAGTATCAAACAGCATGTCACCCAGCTGAGTTTTAAAATGATGCAGGGGAACCAAAGTGCTCAGTTTTAAACATGTTTGCAGACTGTTCCAATTTAGTGGAGCTGCACAACTAAAAGCTTTCTTCCCTAAGACAGTCCTAGCACTTGGCACATTTAATAAAACAACATCATGAGATCTCAGGCAATATGTACTTTCAATTCGTCGAGAGATCAGAGAGCAGATATAAAAAGGTAGTTTACCCAACATGGCTTTGTAAATGAACATGTACCAATGACTGAGCCTCCGTACAGTTAGTGAAGGCAGACCTGCCTTGGCATACAGGGTACAGTGATGAGTAAGTGCTTTACAGTTAGTAACAAATCTCAGGGCACTGTGATAGGCGGCATCTAACTTTTCCAGGCAATGGACAGGTGCATTCATATAGATCAGATCACCATAGTCCAGCACAGGTCAAAAGGTCACAGTGACCAGCCTTTTCCTGGCTTATCACTTATGAATCAATAATCTGAATCCGCACAATAACTATCGGTGTCAATATAATATTGGACTCCAAAATGTAGTAGGGGTGTATTAAAATAGTCAACTAAGGTACTTCAATTATACTTATTAACAGGACTTGAGTATGTGTTCTTAGTCCACTACTGCATATTTCAGTTGAAAAAGAACAATTAACATTATAGGAAATTGTAATAATGTGCTTTATAGACAACACAATTAAAACAAGATAAATAAACACGAATGATCTCATTAAAAATATGGAGTACAAACAGCTGATTTGTTCTTTCAGTGTTTTAAATGAGCAGGACATTAAATGTGTCAGATGCTCTTTCACTGTTTTCTGTCAATAGCCTTAATGTTTCTTTGTTTATGAGATAAATACAGACGACAGGCCTCAGGGCTGAGAGCCTGCTGCTCAACGAGAGCGCCCTCTAGTGACAGGAACTACACCTGTCATTTATCAGCCAAAGAAAAAACACTTTATTAAGATGATGCATAAATCTATTGGTAATACATGCATTGAGTTAAATCTACAGTCAGAGAGGCTCACATTCTGCTGGTAAATAATAAAGGGAAGTCCTCAAGTCCACAGGGTTTTCCGGCTCTGATGGAGGATAGACGGTCTCGTAAATATCCTGTCAGCTGAGCGGAGAGCAAACAGAGGATAAAACAGATTTACAAACACACTCTGTAACGATGTGAAAAACAAACAAGTGAGCAGAGCACAGCAGCCAATGACAACAGACTGAGAGACGAACTCATCTGACGCTGTAAACGTGTTTTTATCACCGGACAGTAAATAACTCTGCTGTGCAAATCAATCTGTGGGTTATTGATTTTCTGTGGCCAGGCATCGGTTTCTCTCAGATAACAGAGTGTCCTGATTTTAGAAGAATCTGGAACGGATGTGGAAAAATACTCAAAATACTGTTTTATACTCTCAATATAAAAATATATATAACTGTTTTTAACCATCAAGGGCTATGCTTAACTTCTATGTTACTTCCTGTTTCTTGTGAACGGTTGTTTTTATTTGCATTAGCAACGTTTCTTGTAAGGGAAAGTTCAAATCAATATTAAATAAACAGAAAATGAAACCTCTTTTGCGTTGTTACATATTTTTCTGTTGTATAATAATTTTGTATTAGAGTAGGGGTAAAATTACATTACATTCAAGATTTCAACATGACACTAAGGAATTAATTAGCAACAAAAATAAAACAGATACAATTAATTAATTAATGGGAAACACTTCTTTTAAAAGGATAATATGAAGTAAAATATGAATATATAAGAGAACAACAGAGATGGTTGTCATCCCCACTCAAGTTTTCAAAACAAACAAACAATGACAAAACCTATTATTATTATTATTATATACCTTATTATGGTGATGATTATTCGTATGACTATATTCTTCTTTCTTTTTCTTAATCTTGTTTTTATTATATTCCAACACTTTTTTACTGCCAACTATTTATTGACTTATTTATGAAAATAATCTGTAGATTAATCATTCATAAAAAGTCAAGAAAATCCGGTTTAAATCATGTTGGACATTTACAGCTCTGTGAAAACACAAACTCTCATATCAACTTTTATCAAAGAACTGAATTGAACTGTAATCAATACTTTTTAAACACTGGGGGAATTTGCTTCTGTCTTCATATATTATATCAATGATAAATATGATCTGATCACACAAAATAAGTCCCTAACATTACCATTCGAGGATACAACTGCACACTCGCTGTGTTACTATAGGTGTGTATCTTCAGGTTCCCAGGTAATAAATTAGTAAAGTTCATTTATGACGACAGCAGAGAGGTTTCAATTGAGAGCCAGAGGAAGAGCTCTTCCTCCCAGGACGGCCGCACCAGGTGACTCACCTGCATCCACAGGTGAGACACTGATTGATATTGTATTTTAAAGGGAGATTGTTGTAGTATAATGTATACATCATAATTCATGCATCACATATTGATATTTTCCAGGATTATTCAGCTGTAGCGAACATGACAGTTTCTTACACTCTTGAGGTGGCCGACGCTCGATTTGGGGGTTTCTGCAAGCTGCTGCTCCGGTGGAAGGGAAGCATCTACAAGCTGCTCTACAAAGACTTCCTGCTCTTCTGCGGGGTTTATGTGTTCTTCAGTGTGTTTTACAGGTAAATGCACTGATTCCATCTTTTAATTCCGCTGTGTGCTTGGTATGATTAAGTGTTTGCTTCTGGTGTTTTAATTCTCCTCCCAGGTTCCTCCTCTCCCCGAAGCAGCAGGATCTGTTTGAGCGGATCGCCCTTTACTGCGACCAGTTCACCAACACCAACTTCATCCCAGTTCTGTTCGTCCTCGGTGAGTCGGACCTCTCCGTCACATAATCTGAAGATAATTCACCACAGCCTGAAAAGATAAGACACCTAACCCTTGTGTCTCCTTTTTAATCAAGTTGCTCTGAAGTCATTAGATCATTCAAAATCTCTGCTTAAATTATTCTTTGAATTATCATTTTCAACCATCTCAGTCCTTGAAGTGACTTTATCAAATAATAATTTTCTATATTTTAATCATTTATAGTTTTTAATAAAATGATTGTGTTTTTGTTTTGTTTTCATTTTAAAATGAAAACTCTGGGATATGTCAATGATTAGCAAACATTTTGATTTTGATGCCTTTTAACATTTTTGTACAGTATCAGATGTAAAAAAAAATCCACTTACTGTATTACATACTATGTAATAATATTATTTATAATTTTAACAGTGTTTTTTTTTTACTAAAATCCTTATTTATCAGCAGTATCAAATTGAATTAAAATGTTTTCCTTTTATTTTAGCTAGGGGGGTTCACAGTGTGGGGTATGTCAATGATTAGCAGCTGATTATGTTAAATTGCATCTTACATAATACAGCAGCAAGTATACAATAAGAAAAAACTACACATGTTGAAGCAAGGGCTGATGTAATATGATGAATAATGTTATGGCAGTGAGATACAAATGTGGTTTTAATGGGTTTCAGAGGGGTGATTTTTGTGTTTATCCATCCATCCATCCATCCATCTTCTCCCGCTTATCCGTGGTCGGGTCGCGGGGGTAGCAGTTCCAGCAGAGAGCCCCAAACTTTCTTTTCCCTGGCGACATCAACCAGCTCTGACTGGGGGATCCCAAGGCGCTCCCAGGCCAGAGAAGAGATATAATCCCTCCACCTGGTCCTAGGTCTACCCCTTGGTCTCTTCCCAGCTGGACATGCCTGGAATACCTCCCTAGGGAGGCGCCCAGGTGGCATCCTAACTAGGTGCCCGAACCACCTCAACTGGCTCCTTTCGACGCGAAGGAGGAGCGGCTCAACTCCGAGTCCCTCCCTGATGACCGAACTTCTCACCTTATCCCTAAGGGAGACACCAGCCACCCTGCGGAGAAAACCCATCTCGGCCGCTTGTATCCGCGATCTCGTTCTTTCGGTCATGACCCATCCTTCATGACCATAGGTGAGGGTAGGAACGAAAATGGCCCGGAAGACAGAGAGCTTTGCCTTCTGGCTCAGCTCCCTTTTCGTCACAACGGTGCGGTAAAGCGACTGCAGTACCGCTCCCGCTGCTCCGATTCTCCGGCCCATCTGACGCTCCATTGTTCCCTCACTCGAGAACAAGACCCCGAGATACTTGAACTCCTTCACTTGGGGTAAGGACTCATTCCCTACTTGGAGTGGACAGTCCATCGGTTTCCTGCTGAGAACCATGGCCTCAGATTTGGAGGTGCTGATCCTCATCCCAGCCGCTTCACACTCGGTTGCGAACCGATCCAGTGAGTGCTGAAGGTCGCAGACCGATGAAGCCATTAGAACCACATCATCTGCAAAAAGCAGTGGTGCAATTCTTAGTCCACCGAACTGCAGACCCCCTCCCCCATGACTACGCCTCGAAATCCGATCCATGTATATTACAATATTGGTGACAAAGCGCAGCCCTGGCGGAGGCCAACCCTCACCGGAAATGGGTCCGACTTACTGCCGAGGACCCGGACACAGCTCTCGCTTTGGGAGTACAGAGATTGGATGGCCCTGAGTAGAGACCCCCTCACCCCATACTCCCGCAGCACCTCCCACAGTAACTCCCTGGGAACTCGGTCATACGCCTTCTCCAAGTCTACAAAACACATGTAGACCGGATAAGCGTACTCCCAGGCCCCCTCCAGGATCCTTGCGAGAGTAAAAAGATGATCCGTCGTTCCACGACCAGGACGGAATCCGCATTGTTCCTCCTCAATCTGAGGTTCGACAATCGGCCTGACCCTCCTTTCGAGTACCTTAGAGTAAACTTTCCCGGGGAGGCTGAGTAGTGTGATGTCTCTGTAATTGGCACACACCCTCTGATCCCCCTTTTTAAAAAGGGGAACCACCACCCCGGTCTGCCACTCCTTCGGTACTGTTTCCGACTTCCACGCAACGTTGATGAGACGTGTCAACCATGACAGTCCCTCAACACCCAGAGCCTTCAGCATTTCCAGGCGGATCTCATCCACCCCCGGGGCTTTGCCACTGTGGAGTTTTTTGACGACCTCAGTGACCTCCCCCCGGGAGATTGGTGTTGATCCCCCGTCATACTCCAGCTCTGCCTCTAACATAGAGGGCGGAGTTGTCGGGTTCAGGAGTTCCTCAAAGTGTTCCTTCCAACGCCCTAACACTCCATCAGTTGAGGTCAACAACGTCCCATCCTTACTGTACACAGCTTGGATGGTTCCCTGCTTCCCCCCTCCTGAGGTGTCGGACAGTTTTCCAGAACAACTTTGGTGCCGCCCGAAAGTCCTTCTCCATGTCTTCTCCGAACTTCTCCCACACCCGCTGCTTTGCATTTTTGTGTTTATGTATTTGTATTTTTGTTGGACTGTTTATTTTAGACCTATTATAGGAGCTGAGGATGAACTTCCAAATTCATAAGAAAAAAGCACAACTTACATCCCTTACCAAAATGTCTATTGGATGCATCTCACTGTTTGTGCAGGCTTCTATGTGACCCTGGCCTTCAACAGATGGTGGGGTCAGTACACCAACTTCCCTCTGCCTGACAACCTGATGATGGTGGTTTCTGGAAACGTGCACGGGACGGACGAGAGGGGGCGTCTGCTGCGACGGACCCTCATGAGATACGCCAACCTATCCTCCGTCCTCATCCTGCGCTCCATCAGCACCAGAGTCCTCAAGAGGTTCCCGACCATGGAGCACATCGTGGAGGCCGGTGAGGGATAGAGAGGGGAGGGTACAGGTTACATTTAGTGCAGTATTAAAGTCCTGCTGTTCCTTTGGACATTTCAGAATCAGCATCAGGTTTATTACCAGGTTGAGACGTACGAGGAATTTGACTTGATGTCGTATTGCATACATAAAAGTAAAACAACAATTAAAAACACAGATAGTAGTAACATATAATAACATTAAAAAAGTATAACAGTATTTACATAGAAATAGAATGGAATACAATTCTCTAAAAGCTGAAGTTTTTATGAATTAATTTGAACAAGAAGGTGTTGCTTGTAAAATGTAAGTTAATAAATATATAACATTATAGTTAAGAAGGAGGACCCAGCTGATTTTAAAGTAACATTTTGAGACAAAGTCACACAAAACCCAAAAGGGATGCTCTTCAATTCGATGAATTCAACTGTTTAAAATTGTCTGTCAAAGCCTAACATACTAAAAAAAATGTTGAAATGATGTTGATTTATGATGACATGAACACAAAGACCTAATACATAGTGTCCTTGTTTATGCTGTACTGCTCCTTCATACTTCCATGCATTGTGTACTGAGTGGAGGTTCGGGGGAACACATATAAAACAAATACACATCCTATCTTCATCCTGCACCAAAGAGCCATACGAGTTATACATACAACTACCTACAGAGAACCTGAATTAATATTGTTGTATGTTTTGTTTCTGACATGTTCAATACAAAATGTACGCTGTGTACAGGATTTATGACGACACACGAGCTGAATAATTTTGAGTCTCTGCACTCGGACTTCAACAAGTACTGGATGCCTCTGACCTGGTTCTCTAACCTGGCGTCCCGAGCGAGGGAGGAGGGGAGGGTGAGGGACGACATCGCTTTGAGACTGCTGATGGACGTGAGTGGGACAAAACAACTCGACGTTTCACACTTGAGGGATGTGGAAATGCAGTTTTAAAGTCCCAGTGTCTCAACACGTCCTGTAAATGTATGATGTGTTTTTAAACCTGCAGGAGCTGAATAAGTACAGAGGAAAATGCAGCTTGCTGTTCCACTACGACTGGATCAGCATCCCTCTGGTCTACACTCAGGTATCATCAGGGCCCAGTAGTTCAAAACTTTTAATCTGGATTTTGGGGAGTTCAAAACCAAAAAACAGGATTAGGATCACTTTGATATCCGATCAGATCAGGAAATCAAATCCAAACTTTAATCTGGATCAAATCTTCAAAACGGGTAGTTCAAACCGACCACACAGGATTGGGATCAGTTTGATCCCAAAACTGGATTATCTTGATCCCACCAGAGGGGTGGATTTCCAGAGCAAAATGTACTGTACAATTTATTTTAAAATATGTTTCAATTTAAATTAGATGGCAAAGTTTGTTAACTGAAATAATACACAATTTTTAGCCTTCATGGGAAATACATTTTATTTTTCCATTTTTTGCTCACGTTTGTAGTGGCCTATTTAGTTTTCAACCAAATGTTGATAACATAAATGTTTATGCACATAAAATTATCACAACAAAGATTGTCAATCACAAATGTAATTTAGATTAGAGAAAAAATATCTTCAACAAAAAAAAAGTCCATCATCTGTCATCACCTTTCAAAAGTAATTGCGGACAATAGATGTCTCTGCAATCTGGTCTCTTGTCTTCCTTGTATTCTTTTTCATATCCACTAGATGGCGATCGGTAGGATTAAAGCACGACCCGACCGGAGAAAAAAACGTGAAACACATTACCAGTAGAAATACATTGCTTTTAAAATCGTGCTGTGCAACACGAAAAAAAGGGGCAAATCGTGTTGGGGAACACGAATCAATAGATTAAAAATCGTGTTGGTGAACAGGAAATGCCGTGAGACTGGGTTGGATATTCAGGATCTAGTCATCTTGAAAAGTCGTAATCTGGATCAGGGTGATCCTATCCTGAATTGCTTTGAAATACTGGGACAAAATCTGGCCGACTTGTCTGATCCTGGATCACAAAAAATGGGATTTCAAAATCTGATCGGATCTGATTGAGATTAAAAGCTTTGAACTCCTGGGCCTGGAGATTAAAAAGTATAAAAAGACAAAACTATCAACAGTTTACTGTATTTTTACTTTATTTGATGGCTTTTGTTTGCCCTTTATCTTACATTTTAGTTTGATACACAGTCATTTTTCATACAAAATCAATCCAAAATTGTTATATTTTTTCATTTTAATCTACTATTTATCAACTACACGATCTTCTACCACCACATATAATCTCTGACTTGTTTTTGTTTCCATCCGCGCAGGTAGTCACTTTAGCCGTTTACTCTTTTTTTGCCTTCTGTGTGGTTGGACGGCAATTCCTGAACCCTGAGAAAGGATACAAGGATCACAAAATAGACTTGTACGTCCCTGTTTTCACTCTGCTACAGTTCTTCTTCTACGCCGGCTGGCTCAAGGTAACGTGTGTCTCGTTTCTCTTGTAGTAAACTGATTTTTGTTTTAATTTTGTTGAGGAATCTGTTGTTGGGATTTCATGACCGGTTTCCTCTCTGTAGGTCGGGGAGCTGATCATCAATCCATTTGGCGAGGATGATGACGACTTTGAAACCAACCAGCTGATCGACAGAAACATTCAGGTTGTCACCTCAAGATACAGACAATGACCACAAAGAGACAAAACAACTTCAAAGAGACACAGAATGACAGAGATACAGAAAATGACCACTTAGACTGAATACAAAGCTAAAAAAAGGCCACAAAGAGACACCCAATTACCAAAACAAGACTTAACATTATCACAAAGAGATAAAAATGAACTTGAGACATGCAAAACAAGTACAAAGAGATTGCATTGATTACAAAAGCGACTTATAATGACCATGGACACTCACTGTAACCACAAACACCCTGGAAATAAAGACAACGAGATTCAAGTCTACTACCTAGAGACATGAATGACCACAAAGAGACACTAAAAGACAACAAATGGACACACATGTACTACAGACAGAAACACAACAACTCCAAAACACTGAGAATGTCCACAAAAGAGACACAAAACAGCTACAAAGCGACACAAAAAGACAGCGGAGAGACTCAAAAGTACTACAACGAGAAACAAATGACTACAAAAAGACCGAAAACAACAACAAAAAGAGACCGAACAATAATATCTATGTGTCCTGCTCCAATGTAAAGTAGGGTTTTGAGGCCTTTTGCATGTCTTTGCCGAGGGGCTCATTGTCTCATGATCCACTAATGCATCTGAGGTTTCTCTTCAACATCGACTGCTCACCGCTCTCTCTCTCTGCTCCAGGTGTCCATGCTGGCTGTAGACGATATGTACCAGAACCTGGCTCCCATCGAGAAGGACAAGCACTGGGAGCAGAGACATTTCTCCGTCCCTTACACTCTGTCCACGGCAGCAGAGACTCTCACACCCGCCTTCAAAGGATCCACCTTTGACATGAGGTCAACTCATTTTAACTTTTGCAATGCTTTTTGTTGCTGCTGCACAGACCAGTAACATTAAAGGTCAATATCAATTGTTTCCTGTCTCTTCTACATCAACATGTGTCCCCTCTGTGTAAAGAGACTCTGAAAGTTTCAGGAACAAAGATTCTCTCTCTTTTTGTCCTGATCCATTTCTATAAAAACCTGTCTTAAAATGAGCAGATCAGATTTTGGCCACTTTATGATGTCATAATGATGTTTGGCTTGTGTAACCATTAGCCAATCAGCAACCAAGGTAACCCCCCCCCCCTTATCACCTGAATCTCCTCCTAGAGCACCATTGTGTTCTTTTGAATCAAATCTCTCTCAGAGGGGCGTGGGGAGGGGCTCCTTATTTTCATCTAAAGTGACAGACAGAGAATCAGCACTTTGGAAACAGGGCTGAAACAGAGGGGATTATGGGTAATGCTGCAATGATCTGTTTGGTGTTTGGAGCCAATCAGAGACATGCTTTGTAGATATCTGAGACCTATAATATATTGATGAAAAACAGCATAATAGGTGACCTTTAAAACTCAAATGTTTGCTATTTGCAGGATGAGTGCGGAGGATCTGGAGATTCACCAGCCTGCAGACACTGCACAGTATTTACCTCTGAAGGGCTCTCAGGGTGAGGGTCTGGAGGGTTTTCTGCTGAGAGGTAAAGGAATCCTTCGCGGCTGCAGCCTTCCATCTCTGCTGGATGGGGCGTCACTCCCACATGAGGAGGAAGAGGAGGATGCTTCTCCTGAGGAAAACATCATCGACCAGAAAGAACAAGAAATGTCATTGCTTAAAGTTGCAGTGGAACACAATTACTGGAAATGATTGGGACCCTTGAACACATTGTGCGTTTTTGAACCAGAAATGTTCTCTTATTGTTGAAACACTCAGTGAAATAACACATAATAGGATTACTAATAAAAGTACTATGTGTGAATTTGAAACATTAATGTGATTATTCAGTGTGACTTCCCCAACTACATGTCATAAAAACACAATGCAGTTCCCTTCAAAACACAAGATATATAGACTCAGGGGCGGACTGGCCATTGGGAATACCAAAGTGGGCCGGTCGGACAATTCACTAGCACCCCTGTATAACTTACCTAGTGTTAGACTCTCCTCCGCTGAAACATCCATCCTCCACAGCAGCCAGAGTTGAAAAGGGCAGTTTGGACACACGTAGCTGTGGGTGGGCCACCTGGGACCAAGGCCCACCCACCAAAAGGCTGAACAATTATCTGTAAAATCTGTCACAGCAGCCAGTGAATGTAGCATATTGTAAATTGTCTGACTTTCAATACGTTTTGATTTTTCGAAAATCATTGTTTACAAATTCAGAGTTACAGTGACGCGTCCTAAAACCCGGAAGTAAGCGGCGCATGGGTTCCCTTCCCTCCATGGATGTATAATAAGAACGGTTCCCTCGACAAAGAAGCGATGAGATTTCTCCATAGGATTTTGGAAAATAGCTCGAAATAAGATCTGTGGGAATAATCGGATAATATCCACATTTTTATAATTTTCGACTCATAAATCTAATCGATGACGACGACGACCTGCCGGGGAACGGGAAACTTACAAGCACCGATATCCAGAATGAGATACTGCAAATTGCTGCTCCTTTACTCATCATCACAATACATTGTGTTTATTCTCGTCATGTTCAACAGGCTGTTTGAAATGAGCGACTACGCAACAAAAGGCCTGCAATGTTCAGTTCCATTATAACACTCACAGATTGCACCGATCTAATCGAGGGTCTTATGGAAAACTACACTACATTAAGGAAAACAGAAGCTGACTTCATTAAACGTGTGACACTGACAGATGATGAAAAAACACGACATCCTTAACTGGGACGTCACTGGGTCGCGAAAGAGGAGGTTGCCAGGAAAGTTTGGCGATTCGCAAAGTGAATCTAACCTGCGCAAAGCCTCCCCTGTAACCTATGCATGTAACCTCCCTCGTTAAATATCCTTGCGTCAGCGTCTCACGTGTTGGGCGCGCTCTCTTCTGACCATCATTTGGAAGTACAACTTACAACAGGTTCAACAACAGGGTCAACCTCCACCGTTTGGCTGCGGCTGGACCCTTCTCGCAGTGTCTCTGCAATTGTTTTCCGGTCCACTCCAACCGCTCTGTATGCAGCCGTTTTATTTTCCCCCTTTTTCAAAGCCTCCTAAATCTCTTTATACATCCATGATGATTCACCATCCGCGGTGAGACTTTTATTTTGAAATACAAACGACGGAAATCGCACAGGGTCAAAAGTCTCTGTTGCGCTTCTTCCGCGTTGAGAAATCCAAAGAAGTCAATTTGAACGACAGACGAGTTTCACTTATAAATATTAATCGGCAGAAAGGGTACGTCAGTGTTAATTTTAGATACCACCTTGTCTTTAATGTCATTAAATCTCTCTCATTAACTGTAAAATAAACATGTTGTTGTTGATAACGGCTGTCGTTAACGTCTCAGAATACATTTACCTAGCTAGCATGCTAACGTTAGCTCTTATAAGGAGCCGAGACTTTCTCCCTGTTTGCGGACTTTGGTCACTAATCAGAGGATAATATAACCTTTATACTCCTGTGGAAGAGAGATAACAATCTAATTACATAACAGGATGTGGCTGCTGTTCACTGAATGCTCTGTGTAACGAGAATATTCTGTGTTGTTGGCTTTGTTTTGACAGAAGCATCAGGAAAGTGGTGTAATGTCAGCTGTGGGCCCCCTACTGAGCTGCTGACTGTCATCCTTATCTTCATCATGTCTGTGGGCGACAACCCTCACCTGCTGCTGGGCAGGATCCGCTTCCTGAACCGCTGCATCGAGTGCTTCAAGAGGAGCGAGGCGGTGCCGCAGTGTCTGTGTTTTGTTCCCAGAGAGGTCTGCTACAAGATCTGCAAGGATTCATCCTCCTCTTCCTCCGGACCATCCACAGGAGGAACTTCAGGAGGAGGCTCCACGGTGGGGAAGACGCTCGTGCCCGTGTTTGACAGCCCACACCAGACCCCAAACATCAAGAAGCTATGCAAGTACAACATAGAGCCAAAGAAGGGGACCTGCATCCGGACCACAGGGGAGGAGTTCTGCAACAGCCAGGGTCTGTGGGTGAAAATCAGCAAGGTACGTTTATTTCCCCCCTTGCAGGTTACTGTAGTGTTTTATTATTAGTAGGCTGACTTATTAAATAAAGAGGCAAGCACATGTGTAAAAAAACAAATATATATATAGAAAAGGATTATAAAGGAAAGTAGACATAACATTATGTGAACTACCACCCAGTAATCTACTTCAACTATTCCAGTTCTGCCTCAAGAGCTGTCATATCTACTTTACTTTAACTATTACATTATATTAATTTACTATTCAACAGATGGGCGTCTTTTAGTGCTAATATTCAGGATTTTCATCTTTGTAAATGCATCATTTTGTTGTCTATCAGAATCATATTAAAGGTCCCATGTCATGCTTTTCTGGTTATTACTCGTCCCCTTGTGTGTTATATAGCTTTTTCTGCATGTAAACGGTCTGCAGTCACAAACCCTCAAAGAACACCCTGTAGCGAGTACAACTCTAACACAGAAAAGACCTGTCTGTGCTGCCCCAGAACGCCTCGTTGGACATTTCTCTTTTTCCATTGTTTACTTCTTGGGTATAGTGACGTAACGGCTCCGCAGATTGGTCAATTTGGAACTTCCTCACACACACACACACTCGGCGGGACATTGCGAGGCTCGCTGCTGTGAGGAGCGGACACTGTGAGCTGGCTCACTGGTGTGGGGTCTGCGAGACAGCGAGACACCGCGTAACTCAGCCTGAGCACACACACAAACTCCCAGCCAGGCTGCGGGTGTGTGTGTGTGTGTGTCTCGCTGTGTCTCGCTGTGTCTCGCTGTCCCACAGACGGCCACTGGGCTCACAGGGAGAGGGGGGGGGCAGGAGCTCCAACAAGCCGTTTAGGACAGAGAGTGAATACACATACAGAGATGCTGTATGAGAAACCAATGTGAGTTTGGAAAATTGCACAATATAAATCTATTCTCGTAGACCTCAACAATGGAATTATGATCAGTAGAAGTGGCCATGACATGGGACCTTTATGACCCAAGTTCCATTCACGTACCAGGAATTTGCTTTAGTTCATACATAAACAGATAAATAGAAATAAAAATGGGGAAAAAGAGCCAATATTGTGAAAAAAAACATTATAAAAAAGAATTTGCAATGTGAACAAGGAACATAAATACATATATTTAAAAAATAAGTGGTGGGTCTGTTTAGTTTTAGAATGTGGTGTGAAGTTAATAACAAAGACTTTATTCAGAGAGAGTTGCAGTATGACTGTTTCGGATATATTTTGTTAAATGGACAACAAGAAGAACTACATTAATGTAGATCTTTAAAAAATGTCTTTTACAGATGCAAACAAAGAGTCAGACCTTTACAAAAGATAAAACTCAGATACTTGAGTGGCATTTTACGACTCTTAAATGTATCAGAAACAAACTTTCCCCCCTTCTCACAGTTGTATCAGCTGTTAATTACATTTGGATGACTTCCTATGTGGTCTGAAAACACATGTTGACATAACTTGTCCCCGTCTGCCTCCAGGAGCAGCTGGAGGAGCACCGTCCGGGCCAGGAGCTGGAGGAGGGCTGGATCCTGGTGTGCAAACACACGGAGGGAGGGGACAGGCTGGTGCCGGTGGAGTCTCCGGAGACCATCAGCCGACAGCAGCAGCTCTTCGGATACGACCACAAGCCCTGCAACCGCTGGGAGCAGGTGGTGGGGGTGGAGAACGCCCTGCACATCGGCTCCAAGCCCAAGATCGCTGAGTGTGATGATTCTGCCGTCCAGAAGCTGAGGTGAGCATGTTTGTGTTGAGTAGGGCTGCACAAGTAATCAATGTTATCCAAATCGCAGTATGGACTGTTGCAATATTCAAATCGCAGGAACCACAATATTTGTTAAAGGCTCAAATGTTTTAAGTGTTGTCGAGCTGATATCCTAACCTACAAATATGACTCTACACACGTAAGAAATCCTATTTAAAAAATATGTCTTAATGCTGAAACATGAATCAACCCCAGAATCCTATCCCAAGTGCAAAATTATCGCAGTTAGTTCTTTTTTTCTCCAAATCTTTGCAGCCCTAGACTTGAGTCAGATCGGAGAATCCCTGTTTGTGATTATACAGCTACAGATTTTAGGGTTAGATTAGGGCGGTGGCGAAGTCCAGCCCACTGCTCCTAAAACTAGGATGGGTCAAATGCAGAGAAACCGTTTCGTTACATAGTACCTGTACTACGTAATGACAATAAGTTGAATCTTCAATCTTCTTCTTCTTCAATTTTCACATTAAGCTTATTTTCCCCTTCAAATCTCTAAGGTTTGTTCCTCCCACCTGGTCATACGAGTGTGACGAGGACCTGGTGCACTACTTCTACGACCACATAGGGAAGGAGGACGAGAACCTGGGCAGCGTGAAGCAGTGCGTCACCAGCATCGATGTTTCTTCATGTTCGGTGAGAGTTTTTGGTGGTGTGTATTAAATGTACAGAAGTGTGTAGGTTCTTGAGATGTATGTCTTGAATTTCATATGAAATGCATATGAAAAATGGTCTGGTTGTTTCTGTCTGCTTTTCACCTCGATGATGACGCATTTTTGTCAGACATTATTCATAATATACTACTTTTAATTGAGTCCCTGTTAAAAAGATGTAATTAAGAGTCAGCCGGTGAAGGTATTTTCTCACAGATGTATCTTGTTATTTGCTGACAGGAGGATCCCAGCGGGGGGGCGAGCTACCTGACGGACGGCGACCCTGAGACGTTCTGGGAGAGCGACGGCATGCAGGGTCAGCACTGGATCCGCCTGCACATGAGGAGAGGCACCGTGGTGAAGTGAGGGAGCTGCTGGTCTTCAGCTGCGTCATACATTGTGTCACTGCTTCCTTCCTGAATACCAATAAGCCACTTTAGACACCTTTAAAACACACACTATCTCTCAAGTTCTTACAGGTCACCTATTATGCAAAATCCACTTGTTCATGTCTCTTCTACATCAACATGTGTCCCCTCTGTGGAAAGAGACTCTGAAAGTTTCAGGAACAAAGATTCTCTCTCTTTTTGATCCATTTCTATAAAAACCTGTCTGAAAATGAGCTGATCAGATTTTGGCCACTTGATGATGTCATAACGATTTTTTTGGCTTGAGTAACCATTAGCCAATCAGCAACCAAGGTAACCCCCCCCCCCCCCCCCCGCCCCCGCCCACCTTATCACCTGAATCTCCTCCTAGAGCACCATTGAGTTCTTTGTAACCAAATCTCTCTCAGAGGGGCGTGGGGAGGGGCTCCTTGTTTTCATCTAAAGTAACAGACAGAGAATCATCACTTTGGAAACAGGGCTGAAACAGAGGGGATTATGGGTAATGCTGCATTGATCTGTTTGGTGTTTGGAGCCAAACACTTCAGAGACATGTTCTGTATATATCTGAGACCTCTAATATATTGATGAGAAACAGTATAATAGGGGACCTTTAATGCCAGTTGTAATGACTTGACATTGTACACGTTGTAATCTAATCTCTGAACTTTTTAATGGGAGTTTCATGATGTCAGTTTCAGTTACATGTTTCACATTGTATTTTTAGGATTTACAGGATTAGATTCCTGGTCATTCATCTACGACGTATCTCAAATGAATTCTTCTTGTGGACATGCCTTTATTGTACATCATGTGCTTTTCCAGTAAGCTCATATTGACGGTGGACTCCACAGATGATAACTACATGCCCAAAAGAGTCACAGTGTACGGAGGAGAGGGAGACAACCTGAAGAAGCTCAGTGACGTCACCATAGACGAGTGAGCCTCCTCAACAATATATTTGTCAACATATTTCCCAAAAACCGTTCATAATAATAATTTATATATATTTTCCTCCAGCAACCTGATTGGAGAGGTGTGTGTGCTGGAGGATATGACGGCTCACCTGCCTGTGATTGAGGTTCGGATTGAGGAATGTAGAGGTAAGGCTTTTGAACAGGCTTCTCTGTAAAGTCAAATGAACAATAATTCAATAAAGCTTGGATTAGAGCAGCGGTTCCCAATCTTTTTTCAACTCACTTAAGAATCTAGAAAATGTTCGTGGCCCACATTCAACCATAAACAATACGGAGGCTAAATAAAGTTCCGATTGGTCAATTCAGAAGATGTAACACGTTGTAAATCCAGTAGTACAGACTGTTGTCAAGGACTGTAATGACCGTTGCTAAGGAGGATCGAGAAATAGAAAGGAAGGAAATAAAATCTTAATTATGATTTGTTTGGAAACATTGTCATTATGTTTTGCAAATGATTTGGCGGCCCACTTGCAATGCCTTGGAAACCGCTGGGTTAGAGGGAACAAGTGAAAATCAATCATCTGATTTTCAATTAAATAAATACAGGTAAGTTAATAAATCCAATTAAATGTCTATATATACTATTATGGCCAGGCCTGGTTAAGTCCCATATCTGTATGAAATCGATCAGTAGACCCTGTTATTATGTATTTGTGTCTTTTTTTCCAGGTTTTGAAGACATCAAAAGATTCTAAAGTGTTTTTGTGAACCTTAAATAAAGTTTCTGATCCTGCAGATGAGGGCATAGACGTCCGGATCCGAGGCTTGAAGATTAAGTCGTCCTGTGAGAGAGACCTGGGTCTGAACGCAGATGTTTTCCAGTCCTCCAACCTGGTGCGCTACCCCCGCCTGCAGGGCAACACGCCCGACGTCCTGTACCGCAGAGCACTCGTCATACAGAGGTACTCTTCATGTTCATC